AGCTACATCATTTATCTAAAAAAGTCCGAAAAACTTAGCCGGAACAATCTCTCAAGCATAAATAACTTTTACTTTGTTACAGATATTCACACCCAAGCACATCTGTGTGAAGTGCATCATGAATTTACAGCTAGACGCCGGTTCAAATCTTAAGCGAACACCTCAGGTTTTATTACTGATGATCACTACAAATGCGTTAATTATTTCGTCTTAATTGGATGGCCCTTTTAATATCTTGTGTAAGCCAGCCAGACCACAGGCATCCCAAGCTCACGTCTCGAGAAAAAGAAAGAGATTGACTTGTGACAGCGTCACGCATTGTGTTACGCAGTGTTAAGTTACGCGGCGAACCGTTAAGAATAAGGAACAGCATGGAAAGGACACGCCCGAGTTGCAAATCGCAGTCAAGTCCTTAACACGTATGCGCGACGTTTTGACTCTGACGTATGCGCGACGTTTTGATTGATGAGCATATGGCATGGTGTAATGGCGGAAGAAGAGAAGTCTTTGCGGTGTAAAATCAGCACAGATACTGTGTATAATACGCTCAAAACACACACAGCGTTCGCGTTAGACCCACACTAAAATATGTCGAGCGTTTTCGGAACGGGTCGTTCCACGAACCTTATGAACGAACATTAATGAGTGAACACAGGCAGCCCAAGCTTCAACTGTGCGATGATCATCTCACGAAACAAGGGTCATGGTAAAATTATAAGAGTTTGTATGGAAAAATTTACGACCGCTTTTAGGGGTGTAAAAATACAGTTGAAAAGAACTCACGTTAGCGAGTTAAACATTTCTAGGTTTACTACGTACATAAGGAAAGCTTCTCTTATGTACGTAGTAAACCTAGAAATGGATAACGCACTAAAATGGGCTCTTTCATCATAATAAGTGGTCAGATAACAAGCGATGCACTGTGGAAGTAAGGTGAGGTATTTTCATTGAGAGTTTGTCTGTATTTTTGTATTCCTAAAAGCAGTCGTAAATTTTCCCATACAAACTCTTATAATTTCGCCATGACTCTTATTGATGATCATCACACAGCTGGAGTTTGGGTAGCCTGTGGAGTAAACCTTTCATCGAGAAATATTCTATATCAACTGAGCTATTTAATGTTAATCGAGAAAAGCACAAACGCAAATCTCATCGTGTATGTAGACGTGATAGTGAACCAAGCAGAATACCAATGCGAAGTTTGAAAAGTTTAAGGAACAAGCTTAAGAGCAGAAAGGTTAGAGAATTCATCTATGTATTCTTTCATGTATACTTATGTCATCTGCACTGTACTGTTATGTAAATGCTGAAAAAACTATTAAATAAAACGAGGTTTAAGTTTAACTGTCGTGAAAGAATTCATCAAAGTATAAAAAAGATAAAATATAGTGCCACTCGATCATTGTTTTCTTGTAATAAACTGATGTGTTCTTGCAAAAGTGAGGCTCATGAAGCAAATTATTCCAACCATAAATTAAGTGGAGATATACACAGAAAAATCCTGGTCCTCCAATATAAAACAGTTATGTTGACCCTAACAAAACAATAGAAGCTCCATATATTCAAGGTAACGAGTTAGTTTTTGGACAGAATGCAGGACAAAAATGTGTTGCAATGAGTTTGTGCTCTTTGATTTACAATAACACCCAGGGGATCAGCTCTGCAAATGATCTTATACAAATAATAAATATTGGAAAGCGGTGTAATTCAAGTTTGTCACGATTAGCCGGATAGGCGTTTTAATGTAGTCAGAATTACCTACAGCATTAAATGTGTTTGATAATAATTATCAACTGGAATACAGTGAAAGCTACTCTGGTACTGTTCACCAAGAAACTGCTATAGAAGGATATTAGTACTGTACCTCTTTAAAAGAGCCTCTAAGTCGCTCATGTCTGAGAACTAGCTTTGGTAGTTACTTTTTGTTTCCTTTTGGTGAAAATAAAAATAAACAATTGGTTTTTTTGCGTGGGTCAAGTGCCATCACTCTAACACTTAGGGCTGTTTATAATTAAAAGCTATCTCAGCCTAGAATCTTTTGTCAACCATAAAAAGGAAAACATAAGAAGACAGCTTATTTGCCAAATGACTCAGCCCGCTACAACCCCTTTATTCGTACAACAATATTTCATTAAGTTAAAACTCAAAAAAAAAGAAAGAATGGAAATCGTGTCTGGTCATAAGTTTTGAAATAATACCCACTGATATATGGCTCTACCTGCCTCCACCCCACTCCAGAGAACGGTTTTCACACTATATAACAAATGCTGTTTTCAGTTGTCTTCATACATATGTGAGAAACTTGCATCTCTGGCATACCAAGACCGAAAACAGTTACAGGATAAACCAATAATTGCATTAAAAACTTCGGCAAATGCAGGCACAAAGAAAAAAATAAAGTTTCTCTCCAACAGAAAGCCCAAGTGAACGCAAATATGCGTTAAGTTTGATTTAAGGACGGTGCCTGTGATTAATTGGGATTTAGTTTTGCCCGGCAGATGACTATACAAGTAAAATAGATTGTATCAGGGGCTATCAAAATCCAAAAAGAAAATTGGAGGTAGCCACGCAATGTTCTGAGATAATTAGTTTTGAAATCTGAAAAAAAAATGCTGTTGCATTTTAAAGAAAGTAAAGGAAAATAAAATTACCTTGTCAGTTCCATTTAAATTAGATTTTTTAGTACTGAATGAAAAATTAATTGTACGTTTTACAGCCCGGTAATTATTGTATTTAAAACAGGAAATCAAGCTCTTGTCTCGAAACATTTCTTGGTCATTTTAGTTTTGCTTCTTAGACACAACTTCTAGGTGACAAGAAATTCGCGTGATCATTGCGGGAGACGAGTCTTTCCACACACACGCGCGAGCTCGCCGATCATGACGTGATGCACTCGCGTGCACAGTGGCAATAGCGGGCACCGTCCACAGACTTTCGACATAAAACTCCGTATGACTGGTATGAGGGCCTCATGAAAAGCCTTGCAACCAGGCGAGATGCGAGCTGAAAGAAAAAAGGAAGAAAATGGAAAAGCGACGGTCATATGATAAAATACTTATTGACTGAGTTAGGTCGGGAACTCGCTGCGTTTGTCTTGTACGTTATTATCTCAAGCCAAATAGTTTCCCGTGTGGCCCTCCCACCGTGACAACCTACAAACCACTGCTGCATAGATACCTGTCAAGATGAATATGCCAAATATTTAAGTACACGTCATCTTTAGGTCTTGCATCTCATTACTCTTAATTTTCCTTTTGAATCATCTAGGTATAATTTCATCTGATCAGCAACAGAAATTCCTTTTTTAGATCAACAAAGAGGTACTCATAAGAGCTAGACTGGTAAGTTTTCACACCTTGCTCCCATTTACAGTATTTACTGAACATGTGTCTGTAAAATACCAGGTTCGAGTGATAACGGGTTATTGTACACATTATGCAGATATCAATCTTGTCTAGTTAGAAATTCGGATGTGAAAGTGAAAAGCGTTCTTAGACAGCCATTATGCCTTGGAGACCTTTTCGATTTGAGATTCTAAGAGACTTAGGAATCAAATATTAATAAATTGAGGATAAGGTCCTTTTCAAGTACAGACTCGAGTGACGTTGTTGTGCTGATCTTTAAGACCCGTTTGAAATCGTTGCAACATCGTCTCTCTTTGAATTAACGCCATGTTTGACAAACGAGAGGAGAGGAAACTCTGCAATCGCCACATTGTAAATAAAATATGTAAGAACGCAGAATTAACGCATGAAAACTTGACGGCGGAAAAACCTACACGGCAATTTTCTTTAAATCTGTTCACGATTTAGAAAAGCAACTCAGTGCATCATGAAGTTAGACGACAATATTTTAATATGGTCAATTATCGCTTCAGTGCTTGTCTAAAATTCTGAAGGATCCTTGCCTGGACAGTCGCAAAGTTGGCAATTCTTTGGAAAAACCCGTATAACAATTATGAAGTTTTTGCCGGTGGGATAAATTTTATTTCGCATAGAAACGAACTAAAAGGGTCATCTAATCGTTGCACCAGAGGCGGTCTATGGAACAAGGATCCCTAAAAAAACGCAATGGACGGACTAATATCACCTCAATACCACAAAGTGGGATTCTTTTTATCAAAAGCATGATCAACCGAGCAACGCCGCCACACTAAACTACAAGTGTTCCTTCTTTACTGCGGTTAGCCGAAGTGGTAGCAGAATTAGTAGACTTCGTTTTATTGCGCAGTACTAATTGGTAATTAGAAGTAGCATAAATGATATTCAGACGCCTGACTCAAAAGGACATTAACTACCGCAAAAGCCGCTATATTCACCTCGAACCAATCCGAACGCGAAAGAAGCTGAAAAACGAGCTGTTTGTTTTGGCTCGAAACAGACTGTTTGCAAACCTCTCATACGAAGACAGGGGTTATCATATTTGCTGATGTGCCACTTTGTTTATCGATTGGACCAGGAGCCTATGACCTCGAAGCGTCTGAATTCTCCTACATCTGGCCAATCTGAAGCAAGGGTGCAATTTTTGCCCTAACATGTGTCATGAAATGGGTTGATACGCGGCCCAAAACCAGTTACCAATTAACTTCAATCTTTCACAAAAAGTAAGTCCGTGAGTCTTGCTTCCTAGTCACAGTTTCCAGGTGACAATTGATTCGCGTGATCATTGCGGGAGACGAGTTTTGCCGCACACGCGCGAGCTCGCAGACCATGACGTGATACACTCGCGTGCACAGTGGCAGTAACGGGCACCGTCCACAGACATTCGACATAAAACTTCGTTAGACTGGTAAGAGGGCCGTATGAAAAGCCTTACGGCCAGGCGAGATGCGAACTGAAAGTAAAAAGGAAGAAAATTAGTCAGGTTGGGAACTAGCTGCGTTTGTCCTGTACGTTATCATCTCAAGCCAGATATTTTCCCGTGTGGCTCTCCGGTCTCTCACCATGACAACCGACAACCCACTGCAGCATGCACATGACACAAAATAAATATGTCAGATACTTAATATACGTCATCTTCAGGTCTTGCATCTCGTTACTCTTAATTTTCCTTTTGAATTACTTAAGTATAATTTCATCTGATCAGTTTGGATCTGCGACAGAAATTCCTTTTTTAGACCAACAAAGAGGTACTAGAGGTAAGAGCTAGACTGGTAAGTTTTCATATCTTGTTCCCATTAACGGAAAATGTGTCTGTAAAACACAAGGTTCAAATGATGAAGTGTTTTTGTACGTGTTATGCAGATATCAATCTTGTATAATTAGGAATTGGAAGGTGAAAGTGAAAAGCGTTCTTCGACAGCCAATATGCCTTAAGGCCTATTTACACGATACGACTTTGTCGCATGCGACAAGCTTACGACAGGCCTACGACATGACTTAGGACAATTTACACGCGCACGACATTTTCACCTACGACATGCCAAAATCGCGAGCAATTCCACTCGTTTCGGCTGCGGTCATTGTTTCAATAATTTGCAAGAGAAGGAAAAAAACCTCTTCCTCGCTCCACAGTGATATCATATTCTCTGTTTCCTCATCTGAGAATGTATTTTTCGCTTTGGAAGCAGTCTTCGACTTTCAGGAGGCGACTTCCTCCGCCATTTTGACGCAAGAAAATTTCACCTTCCTCCCCTACTCAGTAGAAATTTGTCACAAAATACGTCATTTTCTATCAATTTCGGCTACGATTGTCGCAGCGTTTTAAAACATGTTTTGAAATCCTACGACATTTTTCGTGACGTGCAAGACAGTCGTAAGCGAGTGGTAGGTTTGATTTACACGATACAATTCGTGTCGTAGGCCTGTCGTAAAAAGCCTGTCGTAAGCTTGTCGCATGCGACAAAGTCGTACCGTGTAAATAGGCCTTTAGAGATCTTTTCGATTTGAGATTCTAAGGGACTAAGGAATCAAATATTAATCAATTGAGGATAAAAGGAAATACTTGGGTGCTGAGTTCGCAACGGTATGTCCTTTCCAAGTACAGACTCAAGTGTCGTTGTTATGCAACTGATCTTTGAGATTTGTTTGGAATCATTGCAACATCGTCTCTCTTTAAATTAACGTCATGTTTGAGAAACGAGAGTAAAGGAAACTCTGCAATCGTCACATTGTAACAAAAGTATGTAAGAATGCAGAATTAACCCATGAAAACTTGACGGCGGAAAAACCTACACGGCAATTTTCTTTAAATCTGTTCACGATTTAGAAAAGCAACTCAATACTAATCAATAGAGCTAGACAACAATATTTACATATGGTGAATTATCGCTTCAGTGCTTGTCTAAACTTCTCAAGGATCCTTACTTAGACAGTCGCAAAGTTGGAAATCCTTTCGAAAAACCTGTATAGCAATTATGGAATTTTTGCTAGTTGGATAAATCTTACTTCGCACAGAAACGAACTAAAAGGGTCATCTACTCGTTTCGATAGAGGCGGTCTATGGAACAAGGATCCTTAACAATGCGCAATGGACGGACTTATATCACCTCAATACCACAAAGTGGGATTCTTTTATCAAAGGCATGATCAACTGAGCAACGCCGCCACACTAAACTACAAATGTTCCTTCTTTACTGCGGTTAGCCGAAGTGGTAGCAGAATTAGTAGATTTCATTTTATTGCGCAGTATTAACTGGTAACTAGGATATTTCGACATTTCAATCAATGTGCTTTCAAGATAGCAAGAAGGTGAAAAATATGAACGGCGAACCTACAATTCACTTTGAGTTTTCTGGATTTGTAAAAGTTGTTAACAGAAGTTAGCTTGACTGAGGTAAATGATATTTTCAAGACCAGATTTACTTTTGAAGTTTTGTTTGACTGAAGATTTAAGGCTGACTTAAAGTAGTGTCTGAATTTCAGACGTAATACTACACATTGTTATTTTTTCTCAGAGGGCACGGTAACGAATCTTGCAGTCTGATTGGTTTTTTAGCGCGGTCTGTATTTTCCTATCTCTGCCCACGGGCACGGTAACACTTTCGTGAGTCACTGAGAACATCTCTCACTTCGTTACCATTCATCATAAATAAATTTTGTTTATCCGGCTGGGCATTACTTTCAAGCAAAGTCATGATTTTGAGCAAATCAAGTTCATTCTTGATAACTTGTTAATCGTCTCTTTTCTCACTCCCAAATCACTTTGGAGTTGCCGACAGAAAATTGTTTTCGAAACGAATTTCTGGTAGCAAATGTGTCATTAAATGGGTTGATATGCGGCCTAAAACCAGTTATCAATTAACTTTATTCCTTCACAAAAAGTAACTCAGTTAGTCTTACTCCTTAAGCTTTCAGGTGACAAGTTATTCGCGTGATCATTGCTTCCCTCCTGCTCGGCGGTGATCTCTCGTAGACTTCTAACGTACTCGGTTGCCCACCGTTTCCACATAACTCCTTAAACTTAGTAAAAGTTTTGCTCTCTTCCTTGGGTCTTTGTCGGGCACATCATGTGTTTGTAGTTCGGGAAGATGCTTCGGGTTGATGTGTAGCATGGAGTTTGGCGTCAACGCTGGAAGCTGGACATCCTCTTCAAGATACCTCAAGGGGCGGTTATTATGCTCTACGTCAACATCAAGAACTACTTCTAATTCTGCCCAGCGGGGCGTTACATTACCAATCGTCGTATAGGCTTAAAGAGGCTGATAATTAATGGTTAGGCCAGCTAGGAGCTCATGAAACCTTTCGTCTTGTTGGTCCTTCTTCAACCAGTTCTCAGCAGCATTGAATGTAGACCCATTTTGCGAATAGATTATCTCCGGTCTCCCCCTTTGTGCTATGAACTGCTTGAGGCTTGCCATGAACTCGAAGGTTTCCAAGGACTTCAGTAGGTGAAGGTGAACAGCTCTGGTTAGACTGTAGGCGTACAAGACTAAGTACGCCTTGCTCTCGGCTTTGGCTCTAGATGTGTAGCGAATAGGTCCCGCGAAGTCTACTTCTATTACTTGAAAAGGTTTTGAATCTTCTGTTCTGGTTTTGGGTAGATTTCCTGTCAGCGAGGCCAAGGACGTCCAGGGAACACAACTGCTCATAGTCGGTGTAAGCTGACTGTCTGACTGTGTTAGCAGCATGTGGCTCGTAACATCCTCGCCTCTCGGAGACATAACGGTCCATCCAAAAAGTGTTTTCTCGGCAACAGGTTCTCCTGGTTTTCCGACTCTTTTGCGGTATTTGTTTCGATTGTGGCGTACGTGCTCGCGCCTAAGACAAGGACAGACAGGGAATTTAATTTCTTGTGTCGATGTGTATCATCTTCACTCCCTTGAGGTGATCGTATTTTCTTAGCAAAGTCGCATAATTGGGTTTATGAACTTTCGTTAGTTCAATGTTTATGTTGAATTTTCCATTAACGGCTCCAAGGGTCGTAGAACAAATCTCTACATTAGTGGTGGATGATCCAAGCATCATGTCAATTCTTTTAGTCGCGGTTTCTTCTGGTCCTTTGTTGAGAAGAGAGAGATAAGTTTACTTGAGGCGTACGAACCCGTCAATTTCCACAAGAATGATAGGATAAATGACTTCTTTGTTTTCTGATCGATGAGCTGTCAAAATTCCTTCGGTTTTCACTTCCCTTGATGAGCCGCAGATTTAAGTGTAATGCCGTTTACCACCAGGCGGTGTGCGCACTCCGATTGCGTTGCATTGTGGTAGTTTCAATTTCAATATGGCGGTGAAAGCAGCAGAATTCGGCAGATTTTGACCGAACATTCCGTAAAACTAAGGCCGTTCCTTTTTCTTTTCAACATGGGCAAATGTAACTTGATTTATTCTGAATGTGTAAAAGTATTTTTTGTACGTATTTGTCGCGTATTCTATGTTTTCTTGTATGTAAATTGAGGCCAGATTTCAAGAAGGTCAAATTTGATGTACGTCGTAGTTTGGAGCCTTTCAAAGATTTGGATGGCCGCTCTAATCCTTCTTTAACAGCTCTGACCAAACACTCTCCAACGGTACATGTGTTTCTTGCATGTTAAGTGCGGGTGTTTGAGACCGATTATGGCCGAGAAAAGGCCTATTGTTGCGTTACACAGCGTTACTATTGTATACTCAATTGTGTTGTAAATCTACTTTCCTAAGTAAAAGGAAATTTACTTATCGCGAGTGTTGTACGGTAAATCTACTATCTTGATCACTGAATGAAGGACAGTTGAATTTGAGCTATGAACGGAGTCACTTGACCAATGAATAACTCTACAATGCGCACGGCGACACACCGGGTAAGCCGGAAAGCAAAAGGCAGTCGATCGTTAAAAGTTGTTGAAAGCTTGAGCGACTCCTGTCATCCGCTTGCGCTTTAAATCTTCTAACCTGAAAGTTAAGCTGTTATTGGGATATCCTTTAATGACTTTCGTTTGTGATGTGATATTAAGGGTTAGTTTTAAGGTGTCTTTTCCCCATCTTTATGTTCTTGAGGTTTGGCAAAGCCGAATGAGATTGTGTTATAAATGGTAATATTTTCATGTGTGCGCGTTATTTCCTTTGTTTTTGTTTTCAAGTATCAGTCTCTCCCGCAGAAAATACAATATGTCAAAACCTTATTCTAAGTATTCTCTATTCTTTAAGCATATTAGAAACTATGCACGTTTTTTAATTAACGTTGAGCGAGACGAATTGGGTGTTAGGAGGCGTAAGGCTTCTCCTTTCGCGAACCCGTATTCACGCCTTTAAGTATATGACATGGAAAATAGTTCGTGTATTAAAAGGTCGCTACCTCTTTGAAATGCGTTTGCGTGTCAAGAGACGATTCCCCGTTAAATAACTCGCGAATTTGATATTATTCGCACAGCCATCGGCTGTGAGTGTAACTGCTGCCAAATGAATATATTCTCGGGCAAGGCTGCAGTTACGATTCTTTCTAAATCTCTTCAATTGCCTTCTAACAACGGATTTGTCATGGAGGAATAACAGGAGTCGCACAGGTCCGCAAACACTTTTTAACTTTCGAAGGAACGGCAACAGACAGTGAATTTCCTTTACATTCCACGTTTATTCACGAAATCTTGCTACTACCAAAGATGTTCACACGACCGCGACAGAATGCAAATGACAACGCAATCCGAGTGCGCACACCGCATGGCTTACCAGTGTTGACATGTTGCGGTACTCTTGCATTCCGATGATTTATGCGGGCTAGCGCAATTGAAAGAGAGCTTCTTCGTGACCAGAAATTCTTTTCGTTCTGACGGTAAGGCAATTTTTCTATATTCTGACGATTTGTGATCCTCTTCTTGGCAATAAACGCACTTTCGTAGCTTCTTTTGTTGAGCTTGGAACACGCGGTCTCGTTTCCGGAATAGGTGAGAATCTTCCATTTGGAAGTTGTTTCGGGTTTCCGTCAACTGCTCTGCTTCCCAAATCGGTCTGTAACGATCGCTACGGCTCTGTTGTATCCTTCAGCTGAATGCGGTAAAGTTTGGACTGTTCTCCTCACTCTGACGTCAAGTAGTTCTCTTAGATTCGTAAACTTGGTCACAGGTGGCACATTCGTCTTGTCAATTGTTAAGAATATTGGTCCAACAATCTTCTCGCTCTCGGGTTTCTGCTTCCATTTCTCTTTGTGCCAACCATTCTTCGAGATTTTCAATACCACTAGTCGCTTCTTCTATTTTTACATCAATCGTATCATTCCACTCACCAACTTCTTCATCGCTAACCTTCGCTTCTATCTTCATTGCTTCAAAGATTCTTCGCGCATTGTCAGTTTCAGTCACTAATTCCTTTAGACTTGTCATATGTCTCGCTCTTGCAGATCGTTTACCACCATAAAGGGCATCGGTTGTATTATCTTCAGCCCTATCAAGTTGTTGAAGCTTCGTTTTGAGAGCAGATTCGGCGTTTTATATGTTTTCAAGGTTTAGGCGTTTATGGTGTAGGCTTCGTTATTTGTTCAGATTTCATCGAAAGCACAAGGTAATTTGAGGACGTTTTAATGTATACCCACGATCCTCCCACCGTGGTCGCCAGGTTTCCTGGAATTCTCCGGCCGCTGGAATCAGTATCCAAGAAGGTCACAGAATCGATTTTGTAACTTTAATGAACATTCACAGGTTTCACAAGGTCTTCGCACGGTCAGAGGCTAACTTAAATCACATTGCTTCAAATTGACAACTAATTGGGTGTGTACTTTCCGGTTAATTTAGCCAACGATTACATAATAATGTGTACCCCAGTCCCCGACATAAGACAACGATTCGACAGACAGCTTTCAGAATTACGATTCGAAGCGATTGCTAATGTTTTTGTATCAAGGCTGGTACTTACATAAATAAAAGATAAATAAAAGGAAACCTCGTTTTTAACTTTATACATGACAAATTTTTGCGACCTCTGTGTACGAAATCCGCACGCCAGCGTGAAGCTCCGCCAGTACCAGTTGCTTTCACCAAAGATCTTTTTCTTTTCTTGACAGAGTGGTTCTCTTTCTTTGTTCTTATGGCTTGAATTTTTTTTCCTATTTTTACTAAGGACTTTCTTCTGCTTTTTATTTTTCCACGAGCAAAGATTTTGCCACAAGCAAAGAGCTTTCACGTGTGAATTTTCTCAAGAGTGCGATGTAAACAAAATATGCAAATCACTTTAAAAAACGAGCCCTCAGTGGATTCGTCCAAGTACGAGGTGATGACACCTTCCTGAACAATTGGCTTTTATTTCAAATTACATTTTTCTAAATAACTCGAGTGCTTTTGGAGATTTAAAAATATTTTTTCGCTTGGAGATGTTAGGTAAAATGTTTGAACTCAGGTTAGTCAAATGAAAGAAAAAACGATGTTTTTCTGCCTCTGAAGGTGGGTGATAAACATAGACGCACGTCATCTTTAAGTCTTGCATTTCATTATGCCTAGCCTTTTGAATTATTTAGGTATAATTTCATCTGATCAGGTCGGACTGCAACAGAAATTCCTATTTTAGATCAACAAAGAGGTACTCACAAGAGCTAGACTGGTAAATTTTCATATCTTATTCCCCTTTACAGTATTTATGGAACATGCGTCTATAAAATACCAGGTTCGAGCGATGATGGGTTATTGTACACGTTATGCAAATATCAATCTTGTCGAAGTAAGAATTCGAAAGGGAAAGTGAAAAGCGTTCTTCGACAGCCATTATGCCTTGGAGATCTTTTCGATTTGAGATTCTAAGAGACTAAGGAATCAGATGTTAATCAATTGAGGATAAGAGGAAGTAGCTGGGTTGTGAATTCACAACGGTACGACCTTTCCAAGTACAGACACGAGTGTCGTTGTTATGCAACTGAACTTTAAGACTCGTTTGAAAATTATTGTAGCCTCGTCTCTCTTTGAATTGACGTCATGTTTGAGGATGGAGAGTAAAGGAAACTCTGCAATCGCCATATTGTAAAAAAAGTATGTAAGAATGCAGAATTAACGCATGAAATTTGACGACGGAAAAACCTACACGGCAATTTTCTTTAAATCTGTTCACGATTTAGAAAAGCAATTCAATGCATCACGACAAATTTTTACGTATGGTGAATTATCGCCTCATGCAGTGCTGGTCTAAAATTCTGAAGGATCCTTGCTTAGACAGTCGCAAAGTTTGCAATCCTTTCGAATTACCTGTATAGCAATTATGGAATTTTTGCCGGTGGGATAAATTTTATTTCGCTCAGACAAGAACTAAAAGGGTCATCTAATCGTTGCGCTGGAGGCGGTCTATGGAACTGGGATCCATGACAATAACCCGAATTAACTTCGAGGCATTATTTCATATAAGTCTTCGGTCCGATGAACTATAATTCTGCTGGATCCAAGACTAATTTCGCTTATCTGACAGACAGATACGTTTATGCAAATTTAAGGAGTAAAATTTCCACACAGCTCCATTATGCATTTAGTTCTTGGATAAAGAAAACAATAACTTAAACAATACATTGCCATTGGTAAAACAGATTTGTTTTACAATAGTATGGGGCTGTGTGGAAATTTTACTAATAACTTTTCTTGAGAAGTTCCATAAATTAAATGTTAGTATCGTAAAAGAGATTGTTGTTCATCGTGGTGTTGAGTAATAATAACTTTGTCTCATTATGTTGTCATTTGTGTCGAACGCGAAGTTTCGACTGCTTACTGCTCGTCCTCATGAGGCGATGAGGTCGACTGCTCACGCGTTACCTTTTGTAGCACGGCGATCTATTACGTTCCAGTGGGTTCTGGTTTTCCAAGAGGTCTGACTCCAAGTTGTTCCATCGGCGGTTTGCCGAAGGAACAAAATGGAAAGGCGGTTTCCTGAGTAAACTTTGCTCGGCGGTTTGCTCCTACGGCATCAAAGGGCGCTTTTCATTCAACTAATTTATTCTTAAGATATATTAAAGTTTACAAGGCAACCAGGTGGACGATCAAACATAGTTTAAGGCTACTCTGGTTTAAAGATTTAATAACTGTAACAGAGAAGTTACAATTCAGACTCATTGGTCCAATGATTGATGGAGTCTATGAATTTTAACTTCTCGATTAAATTGATTGAATCTTTAAACCAGAATAGCATCAAACCATGTCTAATTTATTCTTTTTTTCTCGTCAGACAGAAAGGACAGCGTTTTATAGTTGTTACAGAAGAAGGGAAATAATTTTTTGTTCTTAAAGTCGTACCAGAGAACCCTCAACAGAACACATACCACGAAGCAGACGGTAAGCTGGTCTTGAACTTATTTCACGCGCGTTGCAATATCTTTGAAGGATAATAAACACAATAGCCTCTATTTAGCAAAAAACCATGCTCCTTGGACATCTGTTCCTCGAAGCTCACAATTCTTATTTCGAAACAGTTAACGTCCGCGGACAAATATCCGTGCATATTTTCGCGCGATATCGAGGCTATTATTTTATATTTTTGCGTCACGAAATTCACTTGGTTATCGCTTAAAGGGAGATCACTTAATGTGTTACGCGCTATACAGCGTTACAGCAGCTGGAGTGCTTTCACAGTAAAACTTAAAAGACATAATTCTACATCTATTGCTAGAATTCGGCTGGCCTGAATGCATCTTTCTTGATGCTTTGTTGCAATGATATTTTACTCTATGAAATATCCAACATACAGCGAGCAGCTGCCCATTGAAAACCGCGAAGGCCCGTATTATTTTGAGATCATTTCATGTGCGGCTGCGTATGTTCGACGCTTAAATATGGGCCGGTAATTTATACCTGCAAAGTTCCAACAATATTTCGTCACACAATAATGATGAAGAATTAAATTTTTTACCCATTCATAAATTGCAGAGAAGCAATTATCCGTTTTCGTACCTGTGCATAATAACAAGGCAATTAACATTTGAAAAGCAGCAGGGTTTGCATCATAACAAGGTCACCCTTAGACTCACTCCTGTTAAAAGCTTGGCAATAAAGCGTGCAACTTTAAAATGGACCATTACAGAGACGCAGTTATCCGTATTTCCACAGTTGCAAGTGCGTATGTTCGTCGCTTCAATAATACCCGGTGATATTTTAACAGTATTTTGTCACAAAATAATGATGAGGAATTGATCCTTTTAATCATTGAAACAACGCAGAGAAACAGTTATCTGTTTTTCAACAGGTGCAGCCCTTGAAATAGAGAAAATGGATGACCTCGATTATCGTGCTATCTCACCAGTCATCATGAAGGAGATGTCCAGCAGACAACGATTTGTTCGATTTGAGGAAAGACTAGACACGAGTGACATGTCATCTGACATGATGTTGAAAATAGCACATGGTAAGATTGATGTTCACACCCCCACTCTAAGAGAAAATCAAAGCTAAGAGACCTATACAGGCCCAGAAGAAAAAAATCTGATTGAAGCACAACACCTCCCGCAAAACCTGGTTGCATTAGGACTTACGCACATGCTCATGATTATAGAACGCGCGTAATTAATGTCAGTCAAAGACAATTTTATTTTGGTCACGTTGAGCAGAAGAGCTGGTCGTAGTTCTGTAAACTAGTGCTAGAACGGAACAATTATTCATGGCTGCAACGGACTGAGAAGGCGTGACCATCCAGGACGCACAGAAGTGCATATTTTTAATTTGTCTCTTTTAAAATTGATAAGGTAAGAGTTGTCTCGTTTGCAGTCGTTCGTTTGTTTTCACGCGACACTTCCCCCAAGAGAATAAGGAGGGGGGGGGGGTGACATCATGAAGCATTGCGTGACATTTCTTAGCACGACTGTGAAGGAGACTAGAGAAAGAGTAATTTTAGCCTGTGAGGCTCTCGTTATTAACGCTTCGGGACGATTATTTCTGCGCCCGCGAGAACGTATGAGGCCTCGTGCACCGCAAGCGGGCGAGAGGCCTTGGCACTGATAGTGCCAGACCCCGGCAAACCTCTCCCCAACTCGTCTCAAATCTTCCCGCGGGCGGAGAAGTTCTGGTCCTGCAGTGCTTATCATGAGGGCCTGCTAACAGATTGGAGTAGTTAATGAGCGTTTTTCTTTGAAGGAAAATATTTGAATGCCTGGAAAGGAGTGCCATTCTTGAAGGATTGTCTTAGTCTCGCAATAGTGCAGAAGTTATTTTGGGAAGAGAAGCCTCAGACAGTCATCGAGCTTGGCGCATGGAAGGGTGGATCAGCCTTGTGGTCAGCAGATATGCTGAAAATTTTAGGTGTGAAGTCACATGTCTTTTCTATGGACATCGATCTTTCTCTTCTGGATCCAGTCGCCAAGGAATGCCCTGATGTAACTTTCATTGAAGGAAATTCGAATGAAATTGAAAAATGCTTCCCTCCAGAATTGCTTCAGGTATGAAAACATATTGCCAATTATCATCCATCAAATGTTTTTTCTTGCGCGCGATTATTCTAGTCGTGTCACGTGATCTTATATGTCGCAGCCATAACTTGGGGATATCCGGTGATATTTCCCAAATGAGATTCGCTAATTTCTAGATATGTTTCTTTTCTTCGTTATGATTCAATTCACGATGAGAGAGGGTTTTTTTGTTGTTACAGAAGAAGGGACATATGTGTCTGTTAATGAAGTCGTACCAAAAAAGATTTGACAGATGCTAAGCAAAGGGACCTTCATTTGGTGCGAAAATATACTCATAGATTTGTCCTTGGACATTATCTGTTCCTCGTTGCTCACAGTTCTCCTCGAGTTTCGTTCTCGGAATACTGCTCGCCTCTGAGAACAGATGATTTCCTAGCATACTTTCTGGCCGGACGGAGGCTGTTGTTTATATTTTACTGAATTTGATGATCTATCTCTAACAAAGCTTAAATGTAAGAGAAACCGAAGTTGAGCCTAGGTAACTTTCACCCACAGACTCTCCCACATCCTTGGTTCATTACTGAAGACGTGCATATTAATATAGTTGAAGTACTGAAATACTTTGACAAATTTACGGAGCCTGGTGACTACATCTGTGTAGAAGATACTAATCCATTAGCACCAAACCAGCCTGGCCAGGGACTCATCAAAGAGCTTGGGTATACTCCGTTTGGACATTCGAAACTTGATAAGTTAAAGGAATTTATGAAAACTCATTCAGAGAGATACCTTGTTGACCAACTATATACAGACCTCTTTGGGTGAGTAACGAGTTCACATATTAAAAATCAGCTTCAAATTAAAGGCAATAGCTACAATAGGCAATAGCTTAGTCCCTGAGAATTTTTCGTTATTTGAGAAACGATAAATTCAGTGACAACAATTATTCCACAGGCCGCCTATTTCCTTTGTCTCCGACCACCCACCCCCATCGGGAGCACTCGTTAAATCCCCCCCCCCCCGAGGTTTCTTTCGCTTTGGGATGACATTTAAAAGAAATTTTATTGGCTGTGAACAGACTAACAAAGATTCATATTTGATTATGACGGTGGATTTTTTTGCTTTTGTATGGCAGGTATAATGTTACATGGAACTCAAACGGTTTCCTCAAACGCGTTTAGAGGTCATTCATCGTGTCTCTCCTGGGTTTCAAGAAAGAATGATAGAAATCATTCAAAATAAGCTTGGTCAATTCATGGAATAAAAAACTAGTTTGAAACAAATTAGTAGTTAATGATTCACTTCACAGCAACAGTCGCCTGCTATTGTATTGGCAGCTTCTGCTTCTAAGTATTTTGGTCGTGGAAAGATAAACTTATGGGCACCTTCAGATTAAGTGGTTTGTGACTTTTTAGCTCGAGAAAATTGCACCTTGCCTGATTTCGTGGCTGAACAGATCAATAAACAGAAGTATTAAAATTATCTAGAGTGAAACTCGTTGAAAGTCTTGTGGGAGGAGGACGGGACAACCTTTGAAAATTCCTTTTACCCACATGAACCAATTCTATCCTTTTAACGACTGTGAATACATGAAAAATCATATCTGTAAACTGCGGTTTTTAAGAAATGAATATGAAAGTGATCTTCGTTGTGATGGTCACTACTTAAGCAGTAGTGAAAGTGAGGCCGTGATCTGAACCTATAACCTCTTCCTTTCTGTATAAAATGATTGTGACGTTATCCCATCTATTGAAAATTCCTATTAGGAGTTCCTTTATCTGAACATTTTTTCTTATATTTTACTGTTTTCAGTTTAATCAGATCAAATTGTAAAATTTTGCTTATAATTTTTTAACCTTTCGGTGCGGCTGACGTGGCCAAATCCAGTTTTACGTGATTGCACGCCGTTCAAGAATTTTTCAGCTTCCTGTCGGGGTAAGCAAAACGTTGTCAGTCTCTGAGAACCTAACTACAATAGCCGATTGTCAAGGTACCCTTTAAATCTAGGACACCTTTCGGAGCTTCTTTGTGTTCATCGCCTGAAGGTCAGGCTAGGGGTATGTGTGCCTTTTAATTTTTCCTTTTTTTTTTTTTTAATTTCTCAAGAAGTTATGATTGCTATGATTCGATGATTTGAAACGAATTAACGATTTCTCGTAAAGAAATTTCCCGAGATTATTTGACGCAACATTGTATCTCGAATTGAGTATGCTTCATTTTCATCTCCAGTTGCACATTTTGGTGAATTAGTGCGCATCCTTATTTTGTCAGTTTTCACACGTTGGACCATTATTTAAAATCTTCTTACATTATGTCAATCCGTGCTCCTCGTCTTCTGTATGTATGGCTTCACCCCCAAAAACCTGTCTATAGTACGCACTTAAAAATTCGATCGAAACTACATGTTTTTGACTATTCTAACCGAAGTACATGTAACTTTTGGGTAAAGCTTCAAGTTAGAAGTGCTGAGAAGTTTGGTGTGATAGTGAGGATTGCAGTTGATCCAAGTCGCGCCGAAAAAGTGTTCCTGTCTACAAATTTGTGGGAAGTTTTCTTCTGCGAAAAGCGTACACATAGCGTTTTCTTGGTAGCATCAGGTCAGTGGCGATGAGTTCTTCAAAGATCGTGCAGTGACTGCAAATGATCGTGCTAAGTTACTTTGTCGAAAGAAAAGCATTACATGTTTCTTGAAGAAAGACCTGGCCTGAAGGAAGCTTTGTTAAGGTTTAGTCAGAAATGTTTTTTAATATTCTCATTCGTGTTTCGTTGCTCGAAGAAAGTTCTGCCAAAAGGCAGGAGGACAAGATCTTTGAAGATTTACGTCCGGTGACAAGTATAACGTATCGAGAAGTTAGCTATTAACACAATTTTGGCAGCTTTCTCTCTCATGAAAATAAATTATATTTGACCCGCGATGTTGTCTCTATTGCGAACAAAACCCTAAGTTAAGGTTATAGTTGGTATAGAAAATAGACATTGTACCTCGATTCGATTCACAAGTAGAACTGGCCGTGAGAGAAAAACACTTTTTGAAAAGTGTAGTGAGGAGTTCTTCAAAGATCGTGGAATGAAGTGACGTGCCATGTTATTTTGTCAGAAGAAAAGCATAACATTAAATTTTTGTTTCTTGAAGAGAGACCTGCCCTGTAGCAGGCCTTTCTAAGATACAGTCAGAAATGTGATTTGATACTCTCATTCGTGTTTCGTTGTTCGAAGAAAGTTCTGCCAAAAGGCAGGAAGAGGATTTACGTCCGGTGACAAGTATAAAGTGGATAGAAGTAGTTGATTTACAGTTGGGCAGTAAAGGTTTCATCTGTCTCCAAAATTCACCAGGATTCTTAATGTTTGTAGAGGCCGTTTGGCAAAACGCTTTCATTTCCTTGCGTTTAAGGGATGTCACTTTGTTCCGTTGTTTACGATAAGACTGTCAGGAGTGTGACATCGGGTTTTTCTTGTACTGTTTAAAAAGGCGATTCCGTGGAGACATTTCACGCGTTATTTCAGGAGTTATCCATCTTATTTGTTTCTTCTTCAAAGGGGCATGCAAGTCGAGTACATCGTTATAAAGTTTCCACCAGTGTTCCCAGATATCATCGGAGTCTTCATAGAGATAGGCGGTATACCAAGGAACGTTTTGTAAAGCAGCAATAAAATCCTCTTCTTTGAAATGTTTGAAGCTACGGCATTCAATAATGCGAGGTTTAGGTCTTGGTAATTTGCATTTTCCGATAGTGTAATACGACTAGCGGATTTCGATCCCCATTGTTCCACTGGGTTCTGGTTTTCCGAGAGGTCTGACTCCTGGGGCGGTTCCAGGATGTACTGAACGGGGGTTCGGGTAAACGTCTGCTGAAGGGAGACTATCCAAGGGGGTCGAGGGCATGCTTCCACTGGAACATTTTGAAATCTAGATCCTCGGAGAGGTGATATCCAGGTTTATTGAGTCGATGATTGTGGTTTGTTAATTGCCATTGAAAACAATCTCGGTTTTGAGCTATTTTAGACATATACTATGTCCATCAAACTCGTCAGAAACCGCACGTGTTGGAATGTTTTTTTTTATTTCATTGTAGGGGGTTCGGCCGAACCACCCGAATCAATCCTGAATCCGCCTCAGGACTCCAAGTTGTTCCCTCGGCGGTTTGCTGAGGGAACAAAATGGAAAGGCGGTTTTATGGGCAGCCGTCACCGCCAAAAATACAGGCATAATAAATGGTTTGTAATAAACAGAAATGGTCTAATTGTCTTTTGGAGATGAACAAGTCGCCTTTGATGAAATGAAACATTCAAACAAAAAAGGGTTTATACAATTCAGAAACTGTTGAACTGATTCAATAAAAACACGATTGGCCAAGTGTTGATTGAAATGGTTCAGTATCGAAATGACAAACGGTTCAGCTAAATGTACTTTAGTTCAGTGACTTGACACAAACGGTTCAGAGTAGTGTGAAATAGCTTAAGTTATCGGCAAATGGTTAATCGTAAGCCGCAATGGTATAGTATCGCATCAATCTACTAACCGTAGAGAGAAATGGTTTAGCGTGACCACAAATGGTTTAGCGTGACGACAAAAGGTTTAGTGACCTATGACTTTCATATATTCTTAGCCGTTTAAAAGGTTTAGTACAAACCAAAATGGTTTAGTGTTACATCAGTTGGTTTACGCCGTAACCGCCAAAAACACAAAAGTGAAATGGACAAGTCAAGCTCGAAATGGAACAGTCTATGTGGGGTCTTACGTCACAACCCTATAGTTTTTATAGTTTTTAGGCGCCCTTTGGTTGTAGTTTTGTCGTCTTAAACAATGAATCGCTTTATGATGATGCATTTTATCAGTATTTTTGCCATTCCTTTTGTTTCAGATTCTTAATTTATCTTTAGGTAGTAAAATGGAGAATTCTTACCATGGCCACGCGTAACCATGGGAAGAATTCTCCATTTAAAGTACAGCAGTTTTCACCATAAACTATTTATAGCTATTTAGTTTTTAACTATATAGTTTTTACAGTTTTTAGGCGCCCTCTAGTTGTAGTTTCGTCGTCTTAAAACAATGAATCACTTTACCACGTTTCCTAACAATAGTTCTGACTGTCTAGACTGTAAATGTGCTGTCGCGTAAAATGATGCATTTTATCAGTATTTTTGTCATTTCCTTTTGTTTCAGATTCTTATTTCATCTTGAGGTAGTAAAATAGAGAATTCTTACCATGGTTAGGCGTAACCATAGTAAAAATTCTCCATTTAAATTACAGCAGTTTTCACAGTAAGAAACTGAAAAGAACAAAAGAACAATTTGAAACTGGCTAATAGCAATTTGAATTCCCAACACGGTTATGTCGAACTTACTAGGAATTTAAGACCTCAAGATAAAATTTCTAATAGTTAGGCTTAACTTAGTTTTAAAAAACTATAAAAATTGGAGATTATAAAAATGTATGGTTTGAAACAATAGGAAAATATATTATTTACATTTTTTTACATTGACATGTATTGGGTCGGTAAAATCGTTAAGATATCACACCAACCGTAAAAATAAAAACAAATAAATAAATAAAATTAGTAAATGAATTTATTATACCCATTTTGAAATCACTGGTGGTCCCTGTAATCTGATTGGCTCTAATTGGTACTATTTATTCACGAATCGCACCATTTTTTGCTCTAAATTGTCTTTTTCCCAGCCAATTAGGAGGCTACACTAAAAACAACCAATCAAATTGCAGGAAAATGAAAGACAAAAGAGTATCTTGTGGCAAATTTTGCAACTTCTGTTTCCAAAACTCTTATTTTTTGCCCCCCAAAAAAGGATGAATTAAATTTCTGACCTGCTCAGTACTACATCAATAAAATATTTGAACTGACCAAGTCCTGTATTTGGGCGATTTCAAAATGGATGTAGTAAAGTGGTAACTGAACCTCGTGTCGTGCAATTTTGGTCTGAAATGATACTTGTGATTTCAAATCGAACTCGCGCTGCACGCTCGTTCGATTTTGCAATCACGCGTATGATTTCAGCCCAAGTTGCACTCCACTCAGTTTAATTACCATTATAAAATACAGATATATCACCATATAAGATAATGATATAAAAGTTAAATAAAGAAAACTATATAAACTATATACAATTATTATCTAAGAAAGCTGATAACCTATATTTAAAAGTTTCTAAAGAGGTTGATGAAACAATGGCCTCAGGGAGGCAGTTCCAGTCCACTATAGTTTTTGGAAAAAACGAGAATTTAAAAACGTGTTTATTTGCATACGGCACGCGAAATTTAAATCGATGGCTTCCCCTCGTGCGGCTCTCAAAGTGTTGAATTAAATATTCTCAGCCATCTATATCAATAAGACCATGAGTTAGTTTGTACATAAGTGTTAACCTAGACTGCCTTCTTCTCGTTTCCAGCGTGGCCCACCCTAAGTCTTTGATCATGTCCGTAACACTCGCATGTCTATTACAATTCTGTGGGCAGAACTGAGCTGCTTTACGTCGAACGCTTTCCAGAGCACTGATGTCTTTCTTTAAAAACGTCGAAAACAGGTCCCAAGCCACACTTGTTTATTCCAGCTTCGGTCGCACCAGGGATGGATATGCAATTTCCTTTACATTCTTTGGACAATTTCAAAGGTTGCGTTGTATTGTACACGGCGATGTGTTTGCTTTAGTTGCTGTCATGGAAACATGGGCTCACCACTTGAGCTTGTTACTGATGGTAACCCCTAGGTATGGGAAGCTACCAACTCTACACCACAGATGACGTATTTTCTCTGGGGTGGATTGTCCTTATCTGAGATGGTAGAAATTTTGCATTTGAAAGGATTAAACGCCATTTGTCAATGATGCTGCCAGGATTCCAGCCTGCGTAGGTAAGATTAGAGAAGGTCACAGTCCGCATCGCTAGCGACAATGCCATAAAGTAAAGCATCGTCTGCAAAGAGCCTAACTGATGATTGCACGTTGTCTGGTAAGTCGTTTAAATATAATGAAAAGAGCAATGGGCCGAGGAATGTACCCTAGGGTACGCCAGAAGTCACCGGCCTCCTTCCACCTGTGGGGAACACTACCACTCTCTATAGAGTCTTGAAAGATGTCGGTTAGTATTGGAGCAATGTCTGCGGCATAAGTTTTGAGAAACCGGGTGGAATTTGGGCCATAGGCCTTATTAGGGTTTAATGAAGACAGCTGTTTTAAGACTCCTTGTTCTAAGATAATTAAAGGACCCAAGCCAGGTGTAGAATCAGAGCCCATTTCTGGAATGTTTTCAAGGTCCTCCTTAGTAAACACACTTGAAAATTGGCTATTTAAAATTTCTGATTTAAGACCACCATCACATATAACTTTGTCGTCGACTTCAAAGTCTGCTATCCCTGTATTTTTTTGTTCAAGCCGTTCTGTGCAGGACCAAAATCGTTTTGGGTTGTCTTTGATTGCCTCACAAAGGTGGCCGCTGATATACTTCTCCCTTGCAGACTTTAGATTTTTGTGCATGCGTTTCCTGACGACAAAAAACTTGTTCCAGTGATGTACAGATCCTGTTTTCTTTGCCTTGTTATATAGTCTTTGTTTCTCCCTGGATTGTCGTTGAAGCGAGCGATTGAACCAAGGGGCCTTAGTGGCTTCTCTTCGTTAAAATCTAACCATATGGTTATCAATAGTACACCCAAAGTTACTAGTAAAGCAGGAGCGAAAAATCGCGTGACAGCCATTATGCTAATCAATCATATACTGAAATTATGTGAAATATAAGTTTAAGCTTATTTTCATTTTCAGTAATTGATTGTTAAGCTACTGAACGTTCACCAGCTCGATGAAAACGGTTTCATCCCAAATATCATTTACTTACTAATATTGCGGCAAGATGATGATGGTATAAATTTATTCGCTAACAAGCGAAAATGGGCAAACATAACAAAATTATTATTACCGGAATAAGTTGCGCTGAGTCTAGTAGACGAGACTACAGAAATAATTTCTTCCTTTGTTGAACGTCGAGTGGAGATGGGGCGAATATCTCGTTAACGCGATCGTTCTGACGAATTTCGCGCCAAATTCGAGTTGGAGGTTGTGACGTAAGACCCCACATAGACTGTTTCATTTCAAGCTTTACTTGTCCATTTCACTTATGTGTTTTTTGCGGTTACAGCGTAAACCAGCTGTTGTAATACTAAACCATTTCGGTTTTTTACTAAACCATTTGTCGTCAGGCTAAAGCATTTGGGGTCACGCTAAACCATTTGTCGTCACGTTAAACCATTTGTCATCACGCTAAACCGTTTGTCGTCACGCTAAACCATTAGTCGTCACGCTAAACCATTTGGGGTCACACTAAACCATTTCACTCTACGGTGAGTAGATTGATGCGATACTATACCGTTGCGGCTTACAATTAACAATTTGCCGATAACTTAAGCCATTTCACACTACTCTGAACCGTTTGTGTCAAGTCACCGAACTAAAGTACAATTAGCTGAACCGTTTGTCGTTTCGACACTGAACCATTTCAGTTAACACTTGGCCAATCGTGTTTTTATTGAATCAGTTCAACAAGGGTGGCTACACAGTTTCCGGATTGTATAAACCATCTTTTGTTTGAATATTTCATTTCATCAAAGGCGACTTGTCCATTTGTATTTCAAATAAATCTCTTGAGATAAGATAAATGGTTCTCCGAAAGGCAATTGAACCATTACTGTTTATTACAAACCATTTATTATGCCTGTATTTTTGGCGGTGACGGTCTGTGGACGGTTCCCTTTATTGTCAGTTTGCACGCGAGTGCATCGCGTCATGGTCGGCGTGCTCGGGCGTGTGTGGCAAACTCATCTCCCGGAATGATCACGCGAATCACTTGTCACCTGGAAGCTTAAGTTACTTTTTGTAAAGGAATAAAGTTGATTGATAACTGGTTTTAGGCCGCGTGTCAACCCATTTAATGACATATCTTCTATCTCCAAACCGATCTGAGAGTGAGAAAAGAGGTCATTAATAAGTTATCAAAATGGACTTGATTTGCTCAAAGTCGTGACTTTGCTTGGAAGTGTGCCCAGCTGAAAAACAAAATTTATTTATGATGAATGGCAACGAAGCTAAGGATGTACTCGGTGACTCACGGAATTGTTACCGTGCCCGTGGGCAGAGATAGGAAAATACATACCGCGCTAAAAACCAATCAGACTGCAAGATTCGTTACCGCGCCCTCTGAGAAAAAAAAAAGTGTAGAATTACGTCTGAAATTCAGACACTACTTTCAGTCAGCCTTAAATCTTCAGTCAAACAAAACTAAGAAAGTAAATCAGGTCTTGAAAACACATTTACCTCAGTCAAGCTAACTTCTGTTAAAAACTTTTATAAAATCCAGAAAACTCAAAGTAAATTGTAGTTTCACCGTTCACATTTTTCACCTTCTTGCTGTTCTGAAAGCACATTTATTGAAATGTCGAAATATCCTTTAGTCTTGATGAAAACTCAGAAGCTTATTTCAACGGCATCAAAGTTCACTTGTAGAAGTCCCTTACATCAGGGATTTTTAAATGAATCAATGCAAGAGGAAGCAATCTTCTTGATTCATTCGGATCCACCGCGCTATCACCGATCGCCAGATTTAAGAGCGGAGTTCAACTCAAAATTTTTTTCAGAATATGTTATCCATGTCTTCCTTGAGGGAAAACAATTACCATTACTTATCCAGTGCTTCCCATAAAAGATTATGGCTCGATCTTTCATTCTTGAAAGCTTTCGATGCCCTTTCAAAATCAGGAATGGGTTTTTATGAAGGAAAACACTGCTTCAACCTTCAGGGATTGCCCTGATCATGCATGAGCAAAGAAATATAGTCGGTCGATAGTCGACCGATATATCGGCCGATGTATCGGCCGATATGTCGACCGAGGCCACCTATAGCACACATGATTGATGTGCACAATTAATATGATCATACAGTTATTTTTTAACTCTTCAATTGATCAATGTGTATCCTCTCCTGACCAAATGGACCGATCTATTATCTAATTTTTTTGTCTCCTTACTTTGTAGAGCTTATGACATCCTTTGAGAGATGTTACACCCCATCTCCAAAGGCTGTGGAGGTTGAGCATGTGTTTGCTGTAAAGGAGTGGATGTCATCCTTTTCAACCACACTTCACAACATTTCAAACCCACATGCTTTTTAATTTACAAAAGCTCCATCTGGAAAAGTTGTCATGCAATACAAGAACTGGGGAAGTGATAAACAGGAAAACTGGAAACCTGTTAGCCCCGATCCAGAGCAGTGGTTAACCATAGTGAAAGTAAGTGGAGCAGGTAATTTAGTGTTAACAACTGGGTTGAAAACGTAAATTAGCCACCGTAAAGGTTAGCTTTTTTACCCTTTACGGTGGCTAATTTACGTTTGCAACCCAGTTGTTAACACTAAATTACCTGCTATACTCTCCCACCGACGCAGCACCACAGTTTCTTTAGAAACTTACCCCTTTAGTCATTTGAAAGTAAGTGGAATCTGCTGTTCAATGAAGAATGAGTAAAAACAAAAAAATCCTAGCAATACTTTCAATTAAGTACACTCTTTTCATAAATACCTGTTTTGTTCAGTTTTTGTGCAATGATTTTACATTTTGTTACTGACATCATACAAGGCACACTAATAATTAAAAATAATGGCATGTAGAAAAGTCACAAACACTGTTGCTGCTTAATTATTGTAAGTTAATGCAGCTTATCTATGGTCTGTAGTCATGTCATTCAGTATTGTCTGATTCATGTCCTTTAAATTCAAAATTTCTAGAAGGAGTTTTTGTGCTACAGTTTTTTAAGCCTGCTAATCTCATTATTTATGTTAGGAAGATGCGAAAATTAATGTAAATGCCCCCCCCCCCCCAGATTATTATGTTGTTCCAGATACAGAGAAGCTTGAGCTTCAAAGGCTCAGAACAGACATTGTAAAGTATTACAGATCAAGATTGTTTCTGGAACAACATAAAGAAGACTGGGCATTACTACTTGACCCTGAAAATATTAGATGGCATCCACCAGAAAGGGCAATCTCTCGGCCATTGAAAGATATCATTACCAACGAGGAAAAAGAAAGGCTAAAACAATCAAAGGTTGATAGAAATGGTCTGGGTTTCCTGGGGTAAAACCTGAAGGGGTCCCTGAGGATGTGGACGATATGGTCAGAACTCAAGTTACTCCTGTGCGAGAGGTGATTTATGCTCAAAAGATACACAATGTATGCTCAATTCAAGCCTCCTGCTTATGTAAACTTGGTTATTTTCCTTGAAGTACATATGCCCACCAAACCTTTCCATCATTTGTTTTAATCAGTCGTGTCAGCCACAGCTGAATTTTCTTGATGTGACTAAACACACACTTGCCTATCCAAAAACTTAAACATTATTATCTTTTGAACTGAATAGTCATGCTGATAAATTGACTTTACAATTTGTTTACATGCAGGTGTATAATGGAGCCTATAGAAGGCCGACTGCTGAAGTTACTCAGGTGGATAACTTTGAAGGAATTCTACCAGGTAGCATTGTTGTGGTTAATCTTGACAGCAACTACAAACCTCCCCATCTGGCCAAAGTAAGAGAGATCACTAACTCCTTCTTCACTGTGCAGTGGCTTAAGGGTAGCTACAAAGGAAAGTGGGTATCATGGCCTGGATGGACTTCCACCCAAATTCCTAAAGAAATTGTGATTTATTTTGATATTGAGTTAGATGAGAACGATAGACTTAGAAAGGAGTCTGCACAATACTTAAGAAGGAGGTACAAAGAGTTAAAAAAAAGGTAAAATGCATGTTCATGCTTATATGTAGATATAGACTTTCCATTAAAACTTCAATCTATAGGTCTGCTTATTTCTTGATGACACAGTACTGTGGTAAACTGTAAGATATTTAAGGTCATTTTAGTACCAACATGTGTGAGATGGCAATTTTTGGACATGCCTATAATTACTGAGTTGATAAAGTGTTACGTACTGGTATTCAATTATTTTGGTCAGACATAAAAGACTGAACATTTCTGTAGATACCAACATTCGAGTAATGAACATGTTTAATAATGTTAGAATTTGCTTGGTCATGTTTGATCCAGACATGTCTATGGAAATTTCCATAGACTTTCTATTAAAATGGCAAAATAGAAGTTGTTCAGTTATCTTTGATCTAGCCATGTGCATAGAAATTCCATAGATCTTCCAGTAACATGGAAAAATGTGAGATGTTCAGTTACAATCAATCCAGACATGTGTCTGGAAATTTCCATAGATCTTCTATGAACATGGCAAAATGAAAGATGTTCAGTTATAATTGATCCAGGCATGTGTATGGAAATTTTCATCAGTTATAATTGATCTAGGCGTGTGCATAGATATTTCCATAGATCTTCCAGTAAGATGGAGAAATGTAAGATGTTCAGTTGCAATCTCACCAGATATGTTAATAAGAATTTCTATAGATCTTCTATTAACATGGCAAAATGAAAGATGTCCAGTTATAATTATCCAGACATGTGCATGGAAATTTCCGTAGATCCTCCATTAACATGATAAAATGTAAGACGTTCAGTAATAATTGATCCAGACATGTGCATAGAAATTTCCATAGATCTTCCAGTAACATGGAAAAATATGAGATATTCAGTACAAATTAATCCAGACAAGTGTAAGGAAATTTCCATAGATCTTCTATTGACATGTCAAAATGAAAGATGTTCAGTTATAATTGATCCAGGCACGTGTTTGGAAATTTCCATAGATTTTCTATTAAAATGGCAAAATGTAAGATGTTCAGTTATAATTGATCCAGGCGTGTGCATAAAATGTTCCATAGATTTTCCAGTAAAATGGAAAAATGTGAGATGTTCAGGTGCAACCGCTCTACACATGTTTATGGAAATTTCCATAGATCTTCCATTAACGTGGCAAAATGGAAGATCTTCAGTTATAATTGATCTAGATATGTACACGGAAATTTCCAAAGATCTTCTATTGACATGGGCAAAATGTGAGATTTTCAGTGACAGTTGATCCACACGTGTGCATAGAAATTTCCATAGATCTTCCAGTAATGTGGGAAAATGCGAGATGTAAAATGTAACATGTTTAGTTATAATTGATCCAGGCACGTGTTTGAGAATTTCCATAGATTTTCTATTAAAATGGCAAAATGTAAGATTTTCAGTTATAATTGATCCAGGCGTGTGCATAAAATGTTCCATAGATTTTCCAGTAACATGGAGAAATGTGAGATGTTCAGTTGCAATCGCTCTACGCATGTTTATGGAAATTTCCATAGATCTTCCATTAACATGGCAAAATGGAAGATATTTAGTTATAATTGATCCAGACATGTGTATGGAAATTTCCATGTACCTTCTATTAACATGCATGGCAAAATGAAAGATGTTTAGTTACCATTTGATCCACGCGTGTGCATGGAAATTTCTATAGATCTTTCGGTAACATGGAAAAATGTAAGATGTCCAGTTACAGTCGATCCAGACATGTGTATGGAAATTTCCATAGATCTTCTATTAACACGGCAAAATAAAAGATGTTTAGTTACAATTGATCCATACATGTGCATGGAAATTTCCACAGAACTGCTATTGACATGGCAAGATAAGAGATGTTCAGTTACAGTTGATCTAGACACGTGCATAGTAATTTCCATAGATCTTCCAGTAACGTGGAAAAATGCAAGATGTTTCGTAATAATCGATCCAGACATGTGTATCGAAATTTCCGTAGATCTTCTCTTAATATGGCAAAATAAAAGATGTTCAGTTATAATTGACCCAGAAATGTGCATGGAAATTTCCGAAGATCTTCTACTGACACGATAATATGTAAGATGTTTTATATATATATATATATATGTACATGTGTTTCTCTATCCCTGTATATTTCTCGAAAAATAATTCCTTTCTGTGTTGTAAAAATTGTCGGAATCAATTCAACTGTGAAGCGGTTGTTTATGGCTATTAAAACTTTTTTTCTTCAATATTGTTAAGTGACCTGGTCAAGAATATATATATATATATGTACATGTGTTTCTCTATCCCTGTATATTTCTCGAAAAATAATTCCTTTCTGTGTTGTAAAAATTGTCGGAATCAATTCAACTGTGAAGCGGTTGTTTATGGCTATTAAAACGTTTTTTCTTCAATATTGTTAAGTGACCTGGTCAAGAATATATAATGTATAGTGCATGTTACCCAGCTAATAATATACATGGAAAAATTACTCAGTTCTGATTGGTTAAGATAAATGCAGTTTTCAGGTAATTCAGTGCAGAAGAGAGTTAGTTCAGTGCAGAAGAGGGTTAATTCAGTGCAAAGAAAGTAACAAATCAGACATTCTGATTGGTCAATAATCAAAGAAACTCATAGATAGCCAATCAAATGCGAGCCTTGGACGGCGCAACAAAATTTGAAAAATTGGGAGCGAAACAATGGCCGGCGTTTTAAGTAGGTTTTCTTTCGCCAAGGAAATCGAAAATTACGATCCGACCCAGCTTAACGCTTTGCTCGAGCGATCCAACGCCGAAATTAAAAACAGTCATAGTTAAACCTCGGAAACGACGATTCCATTTCATCGAAAGTGCTTCGGACACAGACTGAACAATTCCTTGAACTGTTTAGTCGGACTTTGAACTTTCTTGCACCTTAAAGATGTGAAGATATCATTGCCTATTATTGTTTTGATCCTACGCGGTTGTTTTGACCGAACGCACGGTTTGAATAAATTATATTTTGCACTTGATGCGCGCACTTTGCTTATATTTAATTATGATAAGCCATCTCGTATTTTTATGTATTTTATTAACACGTAATCACATGATTTTTCTCGTGCAATTTGGAATAAACAAGCACTTGTTAATTTTTTCACAAGACCACAAATTGCACTCGCCCTACGGGCTCGTGCAATTTTTTTAGTCTTTAAAAAAATTTACTCGTGCTTATTTATTCCAAATTGCACTCGAAATCATGTGATTACCTATACATATACTGAAGTGGCAAAGAACCTTCTTTCAGATTGTGTTTTTCACCAAATTTTCCTTACTTCAGAAAATCTGCACTTATGTGTTTAAAGAAGGAACATTTTTAGTTCGGTGTGGCGGCGTTGCTCAGTTGATCATGCCTTTAATAAAAAGAATCCCACTTTGTGGTATTCAGGTAATAGAGGTCCGTCCATTGCGCGTTGTTATGGCTCCTTGTTCCATAGACCGTCGCTGGCGCAACGATTAGACGACCCTTTTAGTCCGTGTCTGTGCGAAATCACATTTGTCCCACTGGCAAAAAATTCCATAATTGCTATACATGTTATTGTAAACTTTGCGACTGTCTAAGCAAGGATCCTTCAGAATTTTAGACAAGCAATGAAGCGATAATTCACCATATGTAAATTTTGTCGTCTAACTTGATGTATTGAGTTACTTTTCTAAATCGTAAACAGATTTAAAGAAAATTACCGTGTAGGTTTTTCCGCCGTCAAGTTTTCATGCGTCAGTGCTGCGTTCGTACAAACTTGTTTTTATAATGTGGCAATCGCAGAGTTTCCTTGACTCTCGTTTCTCAAACATGACGTTAATTCAAAGAGAGACAATGTTGCAATGATTTTCAAACGGATCTTACAGGTCAGTTGCATTACAACGACACTCGTGTCTGTACTTGAAAGGACAAACCGTTGTGTACTCACCGCTCAACCACTTCCTCTTATCCTTAATTGATTAATATTTTATTCCTTAGTCTCTTGGAGTCTCGAAACCGAAAAGATCTCCAAGGCATAATGGCTGTCGAAGAACGCTTTTCACTTTCACATTCAAATTCCTAATTAGACAAGATTGATATCTGCATAACACGTACAATAACACTTCCTCTCTTGGATCTTGTGTTTTACAGACACTAGCTCCATAAATATTATAAATGGGAACAAGATATGAAAACTTACCAGTCTAGCTCCTATGAGTAGCTCTTTGTTGATCTAAAAAAGGAAATTCCGTCGGCGATCCAAACTGATCAGATGAAATGATGATAGGCTCCTGTCACAATCGATGAACCGAAGTGGCATATTAGCAAATACGATAACTTTTCTCCCGTATCTTTGTATGTGAAGTTTGCAAACAGTCTGCTTCGAGCCCACTTAGACAAGATGGATATCTGCATAACGCGTTCATAAACACTTCATCACTTGAACTTTGTGTTTTACAGACGCATGCTCCGTAAATACTATAAATGGGAACAAGATATGAAAACTTACCAGTCTAGCTCTTATGAGTAACTCTTTGTTGATATAAAAGAAGGAATTTCTGTTGCAGATCCAAACTGATCAGATGAAATTATACTATAAAAGTAATGAGATGCAAGACCCGAAGATGACGTGTATTTAAATATCTGGCATATTTATTTTGTGACAGATATCTATGATCTATGCAGTGGGTTGCAGGTTGTCATGGTGGGAGGGCCACACGGGAAACTATTTGGCTTGAGATAATAACGTACAGGACAAACGCAGCGAGTTCCCGACCTAACTCAGTCAACAAGTATTTTATCATATGGCCATCGCTTTTCAGTCCATTTTCTTCCTTTTTTCTTTCAGCTCGGCGAGCTCGCGCTTGTGCGGAAAGACTCGTCTCCCGCAATGATCACGCGAATTACTTGTCACCTGGAATTTGTGACTACGGAGCAAGGCTAAAATGACCAAGAAATATTTCGAGACAAAAGCTTGATTACCTCTTTGGGAGGGAAAATGTACTACCAGCTTAAACACAATAATTACAGGGCTATAAAACGTACAATTAATTTTTCAATAATCTTAATACTTGATATAACCACTAACTCTGCACCTAAAAATATCTGCAATCTTTTTATTTCTACACAAGACATACACCAGTATAATACCCGATCAGCATCTTCTTCTACCATATTAACTATTCTAGGCTTAATCATCATAAAAACTCTTTTTCTATCGTTGGGGCTAAAATTTGGAACAGTATTCCCGAAAGCTATCCCGAAAATTTTATTGTTATTTTGAGCACGTATCACTGACTTTGTCTTAAACTGAAATATTTCCTTATCTTTAAGATCATTGCAGAGCACTCATTGATGAAAAAGCTCTCATGAATCACATGATCAAGGTTGTATTTGCGACTGAATTTGAAAAGTTTTTAACTCATTTATATGCGCGCAGCGTAGTGAATGTGGCAAATTAATTGCGTGGAGATTTAATTGCGTAGACGGAAATGAAATTGAAATTAAATTGGCGTAGGCGGCAATAAAATTCAGTCTGGCTCGCAATGCATGCTGGATCCACGTTCTCTCATGGCTGCCATTTTTCCAGGAGTTCTACTACTAGCTGTTTTGCCGTCCTTTTGGGTGAGTAACAATTACTTTATTGTGCTTTAAATACCTGAGTTCTGAAGCATATAGCGCACAAATCAATCAAAGCGGCCTACACTCACACCAAAACCTTTATAGAGCTCCCAATTCGATCAGACTTGACGGTTGCTGCGTTCAATTGCTGTACAGGTATCTGGTGATTTCGCCAACGAGTGATTTCGCCAACGTCACGTTCGCCAACGTCTTTGGTCGCTTGGCCAACGCGATGAGTCGCTTGGCCAACGTCCTACTGGTCACTTCGCCAATGTATTAGTTTACTCTAAATAAAAATTTACCATTACTTCTTCTTGCTTCTGTGTGTTATTTACTTGACTAAGCTGACTTGATTTCCCCGTTCGAACTTAGTTTCCTTCCGTTATTTTGTTCGGACTTAGTTTCCTTCTCTTGTACGCGCAACTTAAAACACAGTGGGCCCACATAAATGCACGGCACGCCACACGTCACCGGCGCTGTACGTTGCTGAATTTAACTTAGAGCAATAAAGTCGCGTGTGTGCAACCTTTTCCTTAAGTTCTTCTATAATGTTTATTTGTCGATAACAGAGATTTATATAATTACCTTTGAGACATCTAGAACAGAGATTTATATAAATACATTGTAGACTACTACTACTACTAATTCTAACTCCAGCGCATATTATAACTTCGATCAAGAGTATATAAGTATTACAAGGAAGACACGCTTGTATATTACCATATGAATAGACGCGTAAACTCATTGCGTTAAAACTTGTTAATTTTACCCTATTGTTCTAAATAAACCAATCCAATTGCTTGAAACTAACTGGTATGATATTTCGATCCTTCGAAGTGTATAAAACACACTGGCATGCGAAGAATGTTCATTTCAATCATACGATTACGACACTCTACGACTCATTCTCGGAAACCTTTATCTCGGAATACTATTAATATCAGGATGGCTACTGCGCAGATTTTAAACTGTATTGTTTGTCACGAACTGGTACGGCCTCGGCAGCAAGCGGTTCAGTGCGAAGGATGTTTTCGCTGGAACCATCGAATGTGTAACACCGGTAAGTTATATTTACTTATATATACTCTGATACTCTAAAAAGTAGAGACCTGGGCCAGGATTATAAGTTGATGGAGGATCTAATTTCTCTTTTATACAACTGTTGTTGCTTATCTTACACCTAACAGAAGACATCTCCTAAAAGTAAAAAAAAACTCATTACTCTGACCAAAACTGAACCGTGACCAATGTTATTTAGTTTCTTCTATCATCTGACAGTGAACTTACTTAAAATGAACTTACTTAAAATCCATTATCATCTAAAATGCGGGTCGCGGGTTTTTACATATCAAACTCTTTCCCCAGTGCGACGAACATTTGTTTTTCTCGGTTCCAGGTGTACGCAACCACTTACCCCACGTAATGCGCATGCTCTCCGTTACGAATTTTCAAAATGGCGGACAGGTCAAGGAGGGAAATTAAAAAAACAAAGCGATTTTGCAATGAATTCTCAACATACACCTTCGTTAGAAAGGCGAATCCACGGAAGAAAGATACAAAACTGTATGATACTGAGATCGATATGATATTAAATCGATACCGAGGGCCCGTTTAATTGCCTTCAGCCACAATTATTAGCTTTCTTGACAGCTTTCTGAAGGCAGAATACTTTCTTTCTGAAGACTTCTGATATGCGGCTATTGATTGTTACACCTCGTGTACCTGATTGCTCAAACACTTTGTTTACGATTGTTGAAAGGACCGACTCGTGGTTCTCCGTCTTCGTCTTGACATTGCTTTGAAATAGTATAGACTAGTAAGCTGAAACGAAAAATTAATCAGGGAAGTTTACGAAAAATCCAGCAAACAAGCTTTAAAAAGGCATTTATTTAGACTTCATACTTCAACGAACTTCACAAATCTTACTTGTTTATCTTGTAAGTAAACAATGGCAGATTAATTCCCGGAGTGCTTTCTGAGTTTCCCGATCCCTATCCTACTGCTTTCACGCTAGAGTTAATAGAGTTACTTGATCGGGAGGCAAACTCACAGCTATTACATTTAGGCTGGTCTCTGACAACAAACTGAAACGAATTCAACGACGTACAACAAGAAACATTCAGGCAAAACTATTCGCAAGTTGGGAGAAGTATGAGAACAACGAGAAAACCGCTGCTCAACTACTCAGGACGTGCTCGCGTTTGAATGGACCAGCGCGCTCTAACTGATCATGAACGAACTGAACTAGCGTGAAGTAAGCTGAGAATCAGAAGGTTTTGTAAATAGGTTTTGACTAAAGCATTTTTTTGAATCAGAAGGTTTTAGTAAATAAGTTTTGCATTGAAAATATTTTGTGAATCAGAGGGTTTTGTAATAGGTTTTGACTAAAACATTTTTTTGAATCAGAAGGTTTTGTAAATAAGTTTTGCATTGAAAATATTTTGTGAATCAGAAGGTTTTGTAAATAGGTTTTGACTAAAACATTTTTTTGAATCAGAAGGTTTTAGTAAATAAGTTTTGCATTGAAAATATTTTGTGAATCAGAGGGTTTTGTAAATAGGTTTTCCACTAAAATATTTTGCACTTGTAAATATTTATAAAAGTACGAATTGTAATTAAATTGTTGTTGATATTATACTTGTTATATTTTATTTCTGACTCGTTTTGAAGGCTGGAAAACAAACTCTGATTGTTTCTGAAAAATGTTAACTCGTTAATTCACATCGTTACGCATTTTTCAAGTAAAATTTTGAGTTATACAATTTTGGAACACATTTGGAAGCCATCGGAGTTTGTTATTCAACAGTTTTAAATTACTGCGATGTTAGTGCTCACAAGCCGGCTTTTTCTGGATCTGTCAAAAATATGCAAATTGTTTGGAAGTCAGCCAAGCGAAACTAGCATTAACTTAAAATTGTTCTGACCGAAGTATCAGCATTACATCCGAAGTATCAGTAAGCACCCTTTTTACTAAGCTATTACTAAGTTATTACTAGACATTTGGCGTTGGCGAAGTGACCAGTAGGACGTTGGCCAAGCGATTCATCGCGTTGGCGAAGCAAACAAGGACGTTGGCGAACGTGACGTTGGCGAAATCACTCGTTGGCGAAATCACCGCAATTCGCTGTACAAACCGCTATCAAACTGGGAAATAATACCGCATCAAAATACGAAATAAAACCTCCTTCATAAATGGGTATCAGTCACATTATTTCATTTATAAACAACGTTACGAAGTTCATTAAGTCCAGTTTGTACTTCATTGCTGGTAAGCTTCGCTCGTTCATTTGTCAATCTCAGGGACATGCGAAGTCCAATGAATCTCAACACGAGACACAAGCGGAGGACTTGATGACAAACTCTGAAGATACTGATAATTATAATGACCAGACGAATGAGCAAATAGTGCAGGTAACTAATATGTCCAGGAAATTAATAGTCCAAACTCTTCTCTTAGTAAAACAAATCTCATTTGAGATTTTCATGGAGAACAAAAAATTAACTTAATGAAGATAAACAATACTTTGTCATCCTAACTGTCGCTGTTGCTAACATTTAATAATGCCATTTAGGCAAAGAAGTTTGCGGCTTTTCTGATCCTTACAAGACTTTTCTATTCCTCGGAAAGTTATTGTTGTTGATAGAAAATTATTGTTGTTGTTGTTAATTGCAAGTTCTTCTTGCGATCAAAGAGGACAAAGAATTAGGACAATGACAGTAAAGAACTAAACATAATTTGTCATCCTCACTGTTGCTTTTGCTATAATTTAATAATGCCATTTAAGGCAAAGAAGTATGTGGGTTTTCTGATCCTCACAACACTTCTCTATTCCTGAAAATATTGTTGTTGATAGCAAGTAATTGTTGTTGTTGTTGGTCACAAGTTATTCTTGCGTTGAAAGAGCACAAAGACATTGAAGGTAGAGAACTAAATTTACAATTTATCATCTTCAATGTTAATTCAGCACTGTAATTTTTAACTTGAAAATTTCCAAAGAAAAAGCATTGCAAAAGCCCTAGTCCTCAAATTCAAGTACTTTCAAGGCCCCCTTTTTTATTTTTAAATTCAAGCATCTTCAAGGACTTTCAAGGCTTTACAAACCCTGATTAGGTAATGTATTTGCCTTTAACTGCAAGGAGAAGGGAATTTTTTATCTATTATTGGTACCGAGTTGTAGTTTGTTGCCAAATTTTCACCCAAGGGGAGTTGTCAGAAGTCGGTAGATTGAAGCAATATTACTGTGCGATAGTTCATATTGTTTTTAATAAAAAAATCTCTGAAACCACTGCAATTTTATATAGCTAGAGTGAGTGCTCTTGGTAGAGCATCAATTTTAGGAATTACGTATAAAAAAACTGTAACAAAACAATGGAGATGTTTCAGTATTTTGTATAAATGCAGGGTTCTTTTCCTTTGTATTGATCGTAAACAATGTCAAATAAGTCTAACTGCGGAGTTATTCATAAGCTATAACATGAGGTTCAATGTTCTTTCTTCAGTTTCTTGGATGATCTGTTCTTGTTAATATTTTGAATAAGAATTTTGAGTGGTGAAATAGGTACTTGATTAAAGTTGTTGATGTTGAAGTCTCCTAATATGATATCAATGGTATTTCTTTGAAGAATATTGTTGAGGTTGTCAACATATTGGGTAATGTTTGCATTGTTTTTTCTATATGCTAAAAGGAATCTTATCGTTCTGTTAGTGTTGGAGTTAAATACATTAAACATTAAACCATTGATAACTGAAACATAGTGGGTTTACAGTATATTGATATTGTCTTAAGTAAAAATAGCTAAACTGGAAAATTTATCAGAAGGGTGTTCTTGTCTATGCAGTTCATAAGGATGCAAAGTTTGTTTGATAGTATCATCAGAGTGGTGGAGTAAAAGCTGAGTTTCTGTCAGTGCTAAAATATCACATTTTGTGAGAGATGCATCATGCTTGATGTCAATACTATGTTTTGTTAGGGACAGTGCATTTAAGAGGTATACTTTAGGGTTTTGAAGATGTGCATCTGATGTGGAAGAACGTAAATTGGAGTAAGCATTTTCTTGCTGTCTCATTCTGTGGTATTCTGCTTCTACTCTCAGATTTGCTTGTATGTGTTTGTTTTCTATTTGTTCAATCACATGCAATCCTTGTAAAGAAGTTGCTTGGCTTAAGGCTACATAAATCTGCTTATAGTTGAAATGATTTTGCCTATTGAGGTCAAAGCTAGCTACAATCTCATTTAATGTCAATCCCTGAACTTTGTGTACAGTGCATGCCCATGCTAGTGTGATAGGGAATTGTAGTCTTTGTATCTCTGGTGAAGATGGTTTTCCTGGTCTAACCTTTATTCTAGCAAGTTTAGGTTGAATTGGCACAACTCCATTTTCTCTGGCATATTTATCTTTACACTTTTCTGTAGCTTTTATTCCAGCTTGAGAGTCCTCAAAGTTGATGTAAATAACAACTGGTTTTTGTGTGGTGTGATTTATGCCTATTTTTTTAATAGCACCAGGGTTTGAGCCAGGCCGCGCCATTGTGCCAATCCCGCACTGTAATTGAAATTGTCCCTTAAAAATACAGTCAAAGGGACAATTTGTCCCCTTCAAAATTTAGGGAAAAAACTCGAAAGGAAGCACACACGAAGAGTTTTATCTCGGTACAGAAATTGCAAGCTAAAACAGAATGTGGAAAGTATATTTTCTTGCACGTTTAAAGTTCATTCTAAAGTCACGTTTCAGTCACACTTTACTGAACACGTATGTCTCATGCTCAACCAAGCATGGTGAACGCACGTGGCAATCTTTACTACGCTTTTCACAAACATGCAAACTCAAAAGTTCAAAAGCCGCCTTCACAATTACGTTTTTCGCTGCCCTCAATTTTCTGTTTCTGATCTTCCCCCAGCTAATACTCTGTCAAGGTCTTGCTTCATAATAATAATAATAATAATAATAACAACTTTATTTATATCGCGTCTATATCACTAATTGCTCTAGGTGCTTAACAATATCATAAAATGTATTAAAAAACACTAAAAAATCTAACAACTACATATATAAGCATGGAAACTAAATAGAAATATATTTACAAATCAAATCAATAGAAAATCTTTGATCACCATTAGACTTAAGCTTAGATCTTGGGACTTGAAGTAACTTATTCGAACAAGAACGCAAAGAGTAGGAGCTGGTACAAAAGCTGAGCAAATTGGATATATAACTTGGTGAAAGTCCATTGATAGCCTTATATACTAACAATAAGATTTTATAAGTAATGCAGTATTCAACAGGCAACCAATGTAAATCTATTAAAATGGGAGTTATATGTTCATACTTCTTTGTGAACGTTACAATGCGCGCTGCCCTATTCTGAACTAGCTGTAGGCGGTTTAAGAGAGCTTTAGGTAATCCATGTAGAATTGCCTTACAATAGTCCAAGTTAGTGGTCACAAAAGCATGAATAATTGCTTCAGCAGATTCACGATCCAAATGTGTTCTAATCTTAATAATATTAGTTCGATGGAAATGACATGTTTTGCATATGATTATCTTTTTAATGTGGTCTTCCATATCAGTACTGGGATTGAGTATCACTCCAAGATTGCGAACAGAAGAGGATGGTTGAATAGTTTCACCCCCAACACGAACAAATTCCAATGAGGGACTGGGTTAATAACGTGAACTTAGTAGAAGCAGCTCGGTTTTTTCCTCATTTAGCTTAAGACCATTAACAATCATCCAATTGTTGATTTCCTGTACACATATTTCAATTCTAGATTTTACTGAGGAGAGAAGGTCATCACTACCTAATTTAAATGACACATAAAGCTGAGTGTCATCAGCATAGAGATGGTACATAAGATTGTGTCTCTTTATGATATCAGCCACTGGTGAAGTGTACAGAACATATAACAGAGGCCCAAGGACAGACCCCTGTGGTACACCACAATTAAGTTCACATAACGAAGATCTTGAGCATTCAATTTGAACAAATTGTTTACGAGGTGATAGGTAGGATGCAAACCATTTCAGTACAGACCCTGTTATACCATAACATTGAGACAGCCTATCTAGTAGTATTTCATGAGACACAGTGTCAAATGCAGCAGATAAATCTAACATAAGTAGTACAATGGCTTCGTTTCTGTCAATTTCAAGCAGAAAATCATCTTGCTTAGGAAAATTTGGTGGATATTGGTCTGTAGCCTTAAAAGTATAGAGATATGTTGTTAAATGGTCAGGGTGCTCATTATTATGCATGTCAACAGGTGCATTTTCAGCAAAGATATGCAATGCATGTGTTGGGTAACGGTATTTGTTGGGTTGACAAATCTTGACTGAATGCATTTAATATCACCTTTAGTGTGTGTTGCAGTTCTGAATTTATTTAGTAACTCTGTAAATGGTTGGTCATTTTTTGTCTCATAATTTCTGTTAACCCATCATTTGAAAAACTGACCAAGGATGGCTTAAGTTGTGAACATGATTTTTGAATTCATCAAATATAGGCCTCTTACAGATCAGTGGAAGTTGATATAAATCACCTACATCGATAATACTTAGGCTTGCAAACAGTTGGTTGTTTGGTGTGACAAATATTTCTTTCAGTCGTTGGTGGATATGCAGCAAAGTGGTGTTTGATACCATAGAGATTTCATCAATGATTATTAGTTTTAAATTTGATGGAGCCATTCTTATTTATATTCTCTTTTGGTCCGATATTGGTGGTAGATTATCACCTGCTTCTTTAGGAATTGCTAAAGCAGTATGTATCGTGGTACCATTGATATTGATGGCAGCTACTCCTGTTGGAACCATTAATAGCACAATCGGTTTTTAGGATTTGTAAATCCAAGCCTAAAGGTCTTTGCAGCAGTATGATATATTGCTTTAATAAGGTGGGATTTGCTTGCACCTGCACCTCCTGTTATAAACAAATGGATTAGCTGTACATGCACTGGTTTTAAGCTGTTCATGTTTTTAACCTTGTTTTTACATCACGATAGTACTATGTTGTATGCCTGGCATTGCTGAGTGTTTAAAGATCTCATGTTTTTGCCATTAGAAATGAAATGCTGTCAGATACTTTTTTCTACTCAATAATAAAGTGTGCAAAGAAAAGGTACTCTGGATTTGTAGCAAACCGCCCACTATAGTGCAACAGTTTGGCATTAAAGTATTTTACTGGTGATAATTTAGCATCTCTTTCAGCAGTGTAACCAAATTTACCTTTAGAAAATTGTACTGGAAATGCAATTTCTTCACATTGTTTATCAGTCATGAAAGACAGTGGATGTGTTTTCTCCGGTGGCTATATTGTAAATTTCTCTACCTGTAGAGTTATTGGAGTTATGTTCCTCAGTAACTATAGGGTAATCTGGAATGACTGACTGTAGACATGTCTCATTGGCAGGTGACCAATGCTCATTTAAAGGGTCTTCCTCTTCTTCTTCATTTTGGACTTCCATGTTGTTACCCCGTGCATTCACTATTATTTCTTACAAGATTTTTAAGAATCAGAACTGAATCAGACAGTATTCCTTCACTGTAATCACTTTTAAGATCTAAACTTACTTCAGTTCCACAAACATCAACAGTTTTTGGCAAATCGTCTGATGGTAAATACTTGTTTAAAGATGAATTTTCATATAATCTTTTGCCATACTGAATAACATTAGATAGGGTGTTTGAATTCCAATAACTACATGATTTTATTACGGAGTAGCGGAGTGAATAGACGGCCACAGCACAACTCACATTGAACTTTCTGGTTTCACAGGCATGACTCTGAAAAAGGGTACTATTTTGAATTTTATTAATGTTAACCCCTTTCAACTCAAATATATCATTGTTATGTATACTTTGAAAATAATGCACTAAGCTATTCAATGATGATACTTCAAGCAGTGCACATGTACCTTGAGGATGGCTTCTACCATAAATATCCCTTGCATGAGCATTGAATATTTTCAAGCCCACATTACCTTTACAATAGATAGAAACTGCAGTACATCCTATTGTCAAGACAAAATTGTTGAAATTTTCAGATATAAGTGATTGAAAGGCTCTATCCAAGGAGGTACAGTACTGATATTCTTCTATTGTAGCGTCTTGATGAATAGTACCAGTGTTGCTCTCACTGTATTGAAGTTCATAGTCAGTCTTGAACACATTTAAAAGTGCGGGTAATTCTGTCTACTTTAAAAATTATTTTCTGGTTAGCTGAGACAAACTTGAATACAACTGATTTCCAATATTCATTGTTGACACGAGATCATTAGCAGAACTGATTCTTTGTTTGTTATTGAAAATCAAAGAGCATAAACTCACTGCAACACAGTGTTGTCCTGAATTTTGTCCAAATACCAACTCATTAGCTTGGCTATGTGGTGCCGTTATTGTTTTGCTAGGGTCAATGTACATTGGAGTTGGATCAGGGTTTTTCTCTATATCTGAACTCAGTTAAAATTTACAATAGTTTGAGACGTGTGTCTGACTTTTATAAAGACACGTGGGTCTATTACAAGAAAACATTGATAAATACCGACTTGCTCTATACTTCAATTTAATTATCCTTTGATGTACCCTCACAGAACAATTCAACAAATACTTCTCGTGTTGTGTAACTTCATTTAATCTTACCCTCTTCGCATTAAGCTTACAAACATTCTTTGTAACTCTTCTAACATTCACATAACAACGTAGCCACGAGGACTTCGGTATGCTTGGACGAATACGCTCATAAACAAATTCCTTCAGTTTTCTGCCCTTTCTTTTGAGACGTTTCAGAGTAGCTTCTGGTATTCTACTGGGTTCTCGATCACTTCTAAATACACAGTTGTGTTTTACATGTAAACATAATATGAGATAGCTCGTTTGATATAGGTTTCGCTTGATATTTCTCGATAAAAGGTCCACTCGCAAAGGATCGCTCACAAATTGATCTCTCGTAAAGTTCGCGGACCGACCCGTTCCCAAAACGCTCCACAAGTCTTAGTGTGGGTCTACCGCGAACGGTGTGTGACTTTGTATGTATATTGAGCGTAATAGCCATCGAATTCCTTTTGCGTACATCAAGCAAGGAATTGTCTACGAAGGCAGCCATTGCTTTAAAAAATGCGCTCTAGGGTTCATTCTACGCATACGCTTACTTTTCACGCATGCATTTCGTGACTGAACGCAAAAAAAACAAAACAAAACAAAACAAAAAACAATGAAAACGAAGCCGAATTTATACCTCGGGCGTTTCCTTTGGAAAGCCCGAGTAATAACGATAAAAAACTAAATATACTTTGTCATCCTCACGGTTGCTGTTGCTATGATTTAAATACGCCACTTCCCGGGGGTACTCCCTTATTATAAGCTATATAGATGTGCTGCCCCCAACATTATGGTTTTTTAGCCGTTTTGGTCTGAAAACGGGTGTGGATTTTGGACATTTTGGTCTGAAATTGGATATTTTTTGCCTGCTTGTTTGAAATAGGGTATAGATCTTTGCCATTTTTAAGAGTCTGGTTTGAAATTGGGTAAGGAAAATCGCATATTTTGGTCTAAAATGGGTAAGCGTTTGAATAAGCGGGTGGCACACCCCACCACAAGTTGTTCTTGCGATCAAAGAGGACAAAAGCATTTTGTAAATGAAGGCAAAGAAGTAAATATACTCTGTCAATAATGCCACTTAAGGCAAAGAAGGTATGTGGGGTTTCTGATCCTCACAACACTCCTCCATTCCTCAGAATGTTATTGTTGTTCATCGCAAGTTATTTTTGTCGTTGTTGTTCAACCATGAGAAAAGTTATGGGAGGGGCTCGACGTAAACTGAAGGATTTTAATAGTGGGCACTGTTGCAAGCGCCAATTTATAGCGCAATCCTTTTATGCATCACTGGCCCACTTGCTTTGTTCTACTACCCAGTCCTCTGTTGTTAAGAAACTAACCAGAGGTTCCAAGAATTTGTGAAACTGCAAGGAAAGCAAACAAATGGTGGTATGTTTCACTTCTGCTCACTTTCAGTGAAATGCATCACTCCAAAGCCCCAAAGAGTTAGTTCCCTGTGGGCATTACCGTATCCTTCCACCTAACCCGGCAATTAACCACCCCTACCCATTTTCAGCCCACAATTATGAAGATCCATGCACACGGCATACTTATATGAAGCTCATAGCAATGTATCACACAGCACACGTTCATGTATTTCAATAAAATTAGGCAAAACTGAAACAAACCATGAAGTGCAATTACACACAAAAACTCATTCTCATCCCTCAAATAATATGAATGAGTTGGCTGTCAGAGCCTTTTATTTGATAACAGACGTTTATTCAACGAGTAAAGATGATGCTGACAAATTCGTATGATTATTTATGAATGTTATTACGAAATGTCAACCTTTTCGTTTCACAATTAAGAGATGACCGATCAAGTAATTCTTTTATTTTTCTATCTACATCATAGATAACTTTGCCTAATCTTTCAGTTCAAGGTTGCAGGGTGCTCCAGTTCGTCTCACTCAGGGAAGGGAAAGCTCTCGTAAATCAAGTGATCAAGAACATTTCAGTCGGAAGCCCAGACGTCTGTGAAATCGAATGTTACCTTGACAACCGCTGTTTGTCTTACAACCATGGTGACCAGAGTGGAGGAAGATCCTTGTGTGAGCTGAGCGATTCAGACCATAAGCAACATCCTAGTGATCTACAAGAACGGCTGGGATATATCTACCTGGTAACCGAGGTATTGTAAAAGTTACTTTGAGAGAACGACTATGAAGTGTCTCACTTTCCGTGGAACACATTTCAATGCTTAACCTTCCAGCTCCAGGAAATAATTAACATGTACGTAGCTTCTCCCCACAATATCAATACACTATCCAGCAAACAGGCAATGAGAAGACAAGGCCCGTATTATTATTAGATCATTAGTAGCACACTCATTGTGGTCATTTCATGTGCACCTGTATATGTTCGACGCTTAAATATAGGCCGGTAATTTATACCTGCAACGTTCCAACAATATTTCGTCGCACAATAATGATGAAGAATCAAGTTTTTCACTCATTCATAAATTGCAGAAGAGCAATTATTCGGTTTTGTACAAGTTCATAATAACAAAGCAATTTACATTTGAGAAGCAGCAAGGTTTGTTGCACAACAAGTCGCCCTTAGCCTCATTCCTGTTAAAAGGCTTGGCAAGCAAGCGTGCAACTTTAAAATGGACTATTACAGAGACGCAGTTATCCGTTTTTCCACAGGTGCTTTTGATTAGTTCATGAGCCCGTGCGTATTTTCGTCGCTTAGATAATGCCTGGTGATATTTTAAGAGTATTTTGTGACAAGATAATGAAGGGATTCTTTCACTCACTGAAACATCGCAGAGAAACAGTTATGCGTTTTTCGACAGGTGCAGCCCTTGAAATAGAGAAAATGGATAACCTCGATTACCGTGCCATCTGACCAGTCATCATGAAGGAGATTTCCAGCAGACAACGATGTGTCCGATTTTAGGAAAGACTAGACACGAGTGACATGTCATCTGACATGATGTTGAAAGTAGCACATGGTAAGATTGATGTTCATACCCCCACCCCAAGAGAAAATCAAAGCTAAGAGACCTATACAGGCCCAGAAGAAAAAATCTGATTGAAGCACAATACTTCCCGCAAAACCAGGTTGCAAAGGACTTACGCACATGCTCATGACCATAGAACGCGCGTAATTAATGACAGTCAAAGACAATTTTATTTTGACCGTGTTGAGCAGAAGAGCTGGTCGTAGTTCTGTAAACTAGTACTAGAACGGAACAATTATTCATGGCTGCAAAGGACTGAGAAGGCGTGACCATCTAGGACGCACAGAAGTGTATATGTTCAAGTTGTTTCTTTTAAAATTGATAAAGTAAGAGATGTCTCGTTTGCAGTCGTTCGTTAGGTTTTCACGCAACACGTCCCCCAAGAGAACAGGGCGGGAGGGGGGGGGGGGGCTAACATCGTGAAGCATTGCGTGACATTCCTTAGAACGACTGTGAAGGAGACTAGAGAAAGAGTAATTCTAGCCCGTGAGACCCTCGTTATTAACGCTTGGGGACGAGCATTTCTGCGCCCGCGAGAAAGTGTAAGGCCTCGTGCAACGCAAGCAGGCAAAAGACCTTGGCACTGATAGTGCCAGACCCCCGGTAAACCTCTTCCCGCGGGCAAAGAAATTCTGGTCCTGCAGCGCTTAACATAAGGGCTTGCCAACAGGTTAGAGTAGTTAATGAGCGTTGTTCTTTGAAGGAAAGTATTTGAATGCCTGGAAAGGAGTGCCATTCTTGAAGGATTGTCTTAGTCTCGCAACAGTGCAGAAGTTATTTTGGGAAGAGAAGCCTCAGACAGTCATCGAGCTTGGCGCATGGAAGGGTGGATCAGCCTTGTGGTCAGCATATATGCTGAAAATTTTATGTGTGAAGTCACATGTCTTTTCTATGGACATTGATCTTTCTCTTCTGGATCCAGTCGCCAAGGAATGCCCAGATGTAACTTTCATTGAAGGAAATTCGAATGAAATCGAAAAATACTTCCCTCCAGAATTGCTTCAGGTAAGAAAACATATTGCCAATTATCATCCATCAACTTGGGAATATCCGGTGATATTTCTCAGATGAGATTCGCTAATATTTAGATATATTTCTTATCTCCAATACGATCAAGTCTTCGTTATGAATTCAATTCACGATTAGAGAGGGTTTTTCTGTTGTTACAGAAGAAGGGACATATTTGTTTGTTTTTGAAGTCGTACCAAAAAAGATTTGACAGATGCCAAACAAAGGAACCTTCATTTGGTGCGAAAATATACTCGTAGATTTGTCCTTGGACATTATCTGTTCCTCGTAGCTCAAAGGTCTCCTCGAGCTTCGCTCTCGCAATACTGCTCGCGTCTGAGAACAGACGATATCCGAGCATACTTTCTGGCCAAACGGAGACTGTTGTTGATATTTTACTGAATTTGATCATCTATCTCTAATAAAGCTTAACTGTAAGAGAAACCGCAGTTGAGCCTAGGTAACTTTCACCCACAGACTCTCCCACATCCTTGGTTCATTACCGAAGACGTGCATATTAATATAGTTGGAGTACTGAAATACTTTGACAAATTTACGGAGCCTGGTGACTACATCTGTATAGAAGATACTAATCCATCAGCACCAAACCGGCCTGGCCAGGGACTAATCAAAGAGCTTGGGTATACTCCGTTTGGACATTCGAAACTTGATAAGTTAAAGGAATTTATGAAAACTCATTCAGAGAGATACCTTGTTGACCAACTATATACAGACCTCTTTGGGTGAGTAACGAGTTCACATATTAAAAATCAGCTTCAAATTAAAGGCAATAGCTACAAGAAAAACCTGGCGATAAGGGATCGATTATTATTTTTCACCTGAGGTGAGGGGGAGGGGGAGGGTCGGAGGATTTTGGTCTTAACGTGTTTTCTACATCCTACATTTCACATGGTGCAAAGCTTAACTAAGCTGTAAAACACGTGATAGATTTTTGGACCAAATCCTCAAACTGTTGCCTTCGTAATCCAGGTTCGGAAACGGAAATAAATTTCAAACGCTATTAGGGATGAAGACGGGTATGAAAAATGATGTTTGGTCTGAAAGACGAGCATGCAGGATCTGGAAAACCGAGTGGAACAACCTTTACTAAGAATTGCGAAGACTATTTCCCCATCTCATTCATATTTTGGATCGATCTCATATCAATGACATTTTAGTCCCCGATAATTTTTCGCTATTTGAGAAACGATGAATTCTGTGACAACAATTATTCCACAGGTCGCTTATTTCCTTTGTCTCCGACCACCCACCCCCATCGGGAGCACTCGTTAAATCCCCCACCCCCCGAGGTTTCTTTCGCTTTGGGATAACATTTAAAAGAAATTTTTATTGGCTGTGAACAGACTAACAAAGATTCATATTTGATTATGAAAGTGGGTTTTTTTGCTTTTGTATGGCAGGTATAATGTTACGTGGAACTCAAACGGTTTCCTCAAACGCGTTTAGAGGTCATTCATCGTGTCTCTCCTTGGTTTCAAGAAAGAATGATAGAAATCATTCAAAATAAGCTTGGTCAATTCATGGAATAAAAACTATTTTGAAACAAATTAGTAGTTAATGATTCACTTCGCAGCAACAGTCGCCTGCTATTGTATTGGCAGCTTCTGCTTCCAAGTATTTTGGTCTTGGAAAGGTAAACTTATGGGCACCTTCAGATTAAGTGGTTTGTGACTTTTTAGTTCGAGAAAATTGCACCTTGCCTGATTTCGTGGCTGAACAGATCAATAAACAGAAGTATTAAAATTATCTAGAGTGAAACTCGTTGAAAGTCTTGTGGGAGGAGGACGGGACAACCTTTGAAAATTCCTTTTACCCACGTGAACCAATTCTATCCTATTAACGACTGTGAATACATGAAAATCATATCTGTAAACTGCGGTTTTTAAGAAATGAATATGAAAGTGATCTTCGCTGTGATGGTCACTACTTAAGCAGTAGTGAAAGTGAGGCCGTGATCTGAACCTATGACCTCTTCCTTTCTGTATAAAATGATTGTGACGTTATCCCCTTTATTGAAAACTCCTATTAGGAGTTCCTTTTCTCTGAATTTTACTGTTTTCGGTTTAATCAGATCAAATTGTAAAATTTTGCTTATAATTTTTTTACCTTTCGGTGCGGCTGACGTGGCCAAATCCGGTTTTACGTGATTGCACGCCGTTCAAGAATTTTTCAGCTTCCTGTCGGGGTAAGCAAAACGTTGACAGTCTCTGAGAACCTAACTACAATAGCCGATTGTCAAGGTACCCTTTAAATCTAGGACACCTTTCGGAGCTTCTTTGTGTTCATCGCCTGAAGGTCAGGATAGGGGTATGTGTGCCTTTTAATGTTTCCTTTTTTTTAATTTTTAATTATTTAATTTCTCAAGAAGTTATGATTGCTATGATTCGATGATTTGAAACGAATTAACGATTTCTCGTAAAGAAATTTCCCGAGATTATTTGACGCAGCACTGTATCTCGAATTGAGTATGCTTCATTTTCATCTTCAGTTGCACATTTTGGTCAATTAGCGCGCATCCTTATTTTGTCAGTTTTCACATGTTGGACCATTATTTAAATATCCTTACATTATGTCAATCCGTGCTCCTCGTCTTCCGTGTGTATGACTTCACCCCCAAAAACCTGTCTATAATAGGCACTTAAAAAAATTCGATCGAAACGATATGCTTTTGACCATTCTAACCGAGGTAACTATAACTTTTGGGTAAAGCTTCAGGTTAGAGGTGCTTAGAAGTTTGGTATGATAGTAAGGATTGCCGTTGATCCAAGTCGCGCCATAAAACTGTTCCTGCCTACAAATTTCACGCGTACACACAGCGTTTTCGTGGTAGCATAAGGTCAGTGGCGATGAGTTCTTCAAAGAACGTGAGGTGACGTGCCATGTTACTTTGTCAAAAGAAAAACATTACATGAAATTTTTGTTTCTTGAAGAAATACCTGGCCTGAAGGAAGCTTTTTTAAGGTTCAGTCAGAAATGTGATATGATATTCTCATTCGCGTTTCGTTGCTCGAAGAAATTTCTGCCAAAAAGCAGGAAGACAGGATATTTGAAGATTTTCGTCCGGTGACAAGTATAACGTAGAGAGAAGTTAGCTATTAACATAATTTTGGAAGCTTCCTCTTTCATGAAAATAAATTTGACCCCCAATGTTGTTTTTATTGCGAACAAAACCTTACGTTATGCTTATTGTTGGTAAATAAAATAGACATTGTACCTCGATTCGATTCACAAGTAGAAGCGGCCGTAAGAGAAATAACACTTTTTGAAAAGTGTGGCGATGTAGTTCTTCAAAGATCGTAGAATGAAGGACGTGCCATGTTATTTTGTCAAAAGGAAAGCATAACATGAAATTTTTGTTTCTTGAGGAAAGACCTGCCCTGAGGAAAGACCTGCAGGCTTTTTAAAGGTTCAGTCAGAAATGTGATATTCTTATTCGTGTTTCGTTGTTCGAAGAAAGTTCTGCCAAAAGGCAGGAAGACAGGACGTTTGAAGATTTCCGTCCGGTGACAAGTATCGTGTAGAGAGAAGTTAGCTAAGAGCAGAATTTTGGTAGCTTTACGGTTCATGAAAATAAATTTGACCCGCGATGTTGTCTCTATTGCGAACAAAACCCTTAATGAAGCTTATAGTTGGTATATAAAATCAGGTAAGTATATAAATGTATGGGTAACTAAGCAAAGTAATGTATAAATAAGCAAGAACGAGTAAATAGGATTAAAATTAAGTCGGATTTAGCACTGCGTGGGCTACTTACCTATGAGTTCCTTATCAACACGTTATTTTAACATCAAATTGGAAGTGGAATTCAAAAGACAACAATAGCAATTCATTCAACTACGGTGAATTGTTAAAATAAATTACCGCATTCTCCATGATGGCCCTAAGACATTTTACTAAAGAAAAGTCATGAGCGAGTCATGGAATTATAGCATTTTAAAGCATCTAGATCTTCGTTTTGTCCCTTTAATACATATAAATGACCTTGTAGAAGGCCCGATCCGCATTTACCCGAATGCTTCCTTGTTAAGCCATTTCTTGCCATGTTCTATGTTTGTTTAGAGCCATCCACACATTTACCAAAGCTTTAGATCGATTAGCGGACCATAGAGCAGTTGAGAAAATGGAAGCTGCAGAGTATCACCCAATCCAAAGTGCCATCGATAAGGAAGTTTCGCAAAAACAGCGATATGCTCGTTTTCAAGACAGACAGGACAAGAGTGATATGCCTACTAACATGATGTTAAAAATAGCTCATGGTAAGATTCACGTCAATTTGCCCTTCGGCTTATGTCTCCTTCATTAATACTGATAATTATAAGACGACGTCCACACAAATGGCTCTCACTGAAGAAATAAGGACACTTTAATTCCTTTTTCGTCATCATACATAAACGCCCTTAAAAGAAGGCAATATACTGGAGACTTTGGAAAAGAGCTCCAAGAGTGGAATATTCTGACAATGTATATTTCCAGTGTTGATACAAGCAAGTGCAATGGAGGCTTTTGAACATGTGCTGGTGAGAGACATCACATACTGTCGATTTTATCCCATATCGGTAAGAATTTATCAAAAAGAAATTTAGACTCTCTTGGCCCATGCCGTTATTCCAAGTTAGACCCCTGAAAGCTTAACTGAGAAATGTGTCAGAGATATGTAAAGAAATAATGTTATCTTCATTTATTTGGTAGCTGAAGCATAAGTAATGCATGAAGTAAAGACTAGGAAAACATTTTTACTTATTAAGGGAAATATTGGACCTCATGGCGAGGAATTCCCGTTCTGAAGGACTGCCTCGACCTTATAGCAGTCCAGGAGTTGTTTTGGGAGTTAAAGCCTAGAACCGTTATTGAGCTTGGAGCTTATAAAGGCGGCTCAGCTTTGTGGGCAGCGGACATGCTGAAAATGATAGGTGTCACATCACGCGTTCTGTCAGTGGATATTGATCTTTCTTTACTGGATCCAGTCGCTAAAGCATACCCGGATGTTACCTTCATTCAAGGGGATTCACTTGAGATTGACAAATGTTTTCCTCCAGAATTACTCCAGGTTAGAAAGTCCATCGCTATTTATGCCAAAATGTCCATTTTTGATTGGTCAAAGAGGAGGGAGGAGTATTTCAAGAGATGTGAGTTGGCCACCGCAGAGAAATTCTAAAGCGTTGGCCTTTTTCCAGAACAAAAACGATTCCAAAGGTCGTCTAACACTGAGAATTACTACGACTGAGTCATTCCGATGTTTATTTAATCAATGATGGATTACTTCCCTCCACAGGAACTTCCTCACCCATGGTTTATAACTGAAGATGCTCATGTCAACGTCACCGGTGTGCTTGAGTACTTTGATAAGTTCACGGAGCCTGATGACTACATCTGTGTTGAAGACACCAATCCCATAGTTCCAAACTCACCTGGTCAGGGGCTCGCCAAGGAGCTTGGGTACACTCCACTGGGTAGTGTGAAGCTTGACGCGGTTAAGCTCTTCATGAAAGACAAAGGTGAAAGATACCTCGTGGATCAGCGATACGCAGATTTTTTCGGGTGGGTGATGTTTAAACGCTGGACTTTGGAAGCGCTTTGTTGTTCGTCCAGCTAACGATGGAGTTTTAATTTTGCGATTGTCAGAGTCTCATGCCTGAACGCAAATTAAACGCATACATATGGGTTTCTCACTTGTTCAGCTCCATCCGCTAGAATAAAAGAAGATTCATACATTTACAATTCGAAAGCGCAACTTGTAGATTTTAGCCGAATAACTAAGCCCCTATTATGCACACGGATTTAATTTTGAGGATTTACAATCGGTTTCCCAAATCCGCATGCACAATAAAAGGGTATAATGTTGTTATCATTGATCTTTTGAAAATGAGTTACAAAAGTTTGTTCCATTTCGAAATTTGATTCTGTACCTTAATCTTTGGGTCAACATCGGGGTGAAACTTTAAAAGTGGTAAAATGGAATTTACACGAAAATCAGCGAATTATTATCTTGTAGTATCAAAATTTTCAAATCCCTTTTTTTGTTTTGCAGATACAACGTTACTTGGAACATGAACAGTTATTTGAAACGAGTGTAGATGTCAGAAACATCTCAATCCCAGGTGAACAATCCTGGATTCTTAAAAAAATAAACTTATTGACAGGGTTCTGCACGAAGGACACAAACAAGGGGTCGTATTCAAGGGGTTAGGGTTTGTATTATTAACATAATTTTTCTTGTTTCAAATACATAATATCTTCACCACGCTCAGTGAGCCATTCTGTTTCTTTACATGTCAAGCTAGCAGTAGCACATTTGCCAATTCTGTTAAATCAACCAATTGTAGTCTTACAGTTTAGTGTTGAGTAAAATAAAAGGTGTAATCAGACCGTGTCATCTTTAATTATAAGCCCGTTAACTCTACTGTACTATTACGTTCTCGTTCGCCTTGAAGGTAAAGTTTGCATGATTAAGTACTAGATTTCAGTCATCTTGAGCCCTGTTAGATGTCTGTTAGATAATATACATAGAGGGCCCCGCTGGGAGGGCCCCTGTAAGGATTTTTTCCTCAGAAAAACAACACAATAAACCTGGCTAGAACTCCAACCAGATCGACCTGTAGCCTCGTTCCTAAGATCCTCTCTGCCTCCCTTTGAGGGAGGAATAGAAAGGAACTTGAGAACGAGGCTCGATGATCCGGAATTTATGCCACTAACCTCAATACATGTAGTGCAACCGCATCTGTCCACTAGGCCATTTGAATTTTCAATTTGTTGAATTGAAAAGGCCTGAGCCATAGTTTGAAACAGACCTCACTTTAGTCAGATAACTGTAACACACCAGGAAATAAAATACCTCTACGTTTATTTCACACTAGAAGGCTTAACTTGTATAACAGAGATTGACTCGCTAAGGCCGAGAACACTTGATCTCATTCCGTCGGCAAGTTCTTCGTTAATCGTTTGGTTCCTTGTTTCTCGCGACCATGACCTCCGTGAAGGTAGCTTCCTCGTCCCTCTGAGACCGGGATGGATGTCCTGGAGTTTGGAATCTGGAGGGGAGTTACGTGAGAAAATGATTTAAAGGAGAACTAAGCACCAGAAGCCAAATTGTTTCTAATCTACGCCATCAAAAAGCACATGTCAAATAATGACAGCTCGCGCGGTTTGAGATTCCAAAGAGTATCTTGACATTTTCAAAAGTTTCTAAGAAATTTCTCCTAGGAAGCCGCCATTTTGAAAACACGTCATGTATCGATGAGTCAGGGTGGGTTCCAAACCCCAGCGGAGCCACCCTCTGTATCTTCCATTGATAAAGGAAGATGGTCTGTTCAATCCTTGTCCCACCCCTCGGTTATCATCAGTTCTTGACACTCGCATGTTTACCAACAAAATTTGAGGTTTTAATTTGCTTTATAACCTAATAACCCAACCGCATCCTTCCCTAGAACATATCTGATCGATTGATTGATTGATTGTGGTAAAACCAAAACGGAACTAATCCACACGGCCTATCAAAAGAAAGGAAAAAAGGAAAATATAGTTTAGAGCCAATGTGATTTCAAAGTAACCAAACTGCCCAAAGCGCGGGAAAACGCGGGCGATCAAGTGGCGAGGGGTTTCAGTTTCGCATCTGATTGAGTGATAGAGTGGCGCGAGTTTTCAGGACCAATCACAGAGCAAAGTAAGGCAAAACCAATGCAGTCTCGGATTATTTTTGACACTCAATCTTAAAATTTCTCTACATGCAGGATTCGTTTGCGGTTCAAAAAATTGACTAATGGCTTACCATCTAGCTTCAGTGAACATTCAAAGAGCTCTCTTGAACAGAGAATGTGTCTACTGTTACCAAACTGTCCATCACAATATATGTTTCTCGGGAAAACATCATTGGCCTTTCGTCGCAGCCATTTTTTTAGAGCTGATCGTTTACTCATTTTCTTTTCGTTTGATAAAAACTTGTATCCAACAACCTGAAGATTGCAAGAAGACAAATCTTCCGGGAGCTCCTCCTGTCCCTTGTATGTGTTCGGCAAAGCTCGTAAAATCAAAACCTTTGAGGCATTCGGTGTGCTTGGAAGGCCTTGCGAACTTCTCATAAAGGCTAGCATTGGAGAACTGGTTTTTTGAGAAATATTTTCAGGCTTTTTACTCTGGCGGAAATCTTTTCTCTTTCTTTTATAATTCCCAGTTGTCTTCGGAAGCCAGGTATAGACAAAGTGGATAACTTGTCCGAAAACTCCTTGTGTTGAAGCCATGAACTCATTGCAGGAAAAAATGAAACGTTTTTCAACTATGCTATTTTTTTTTTCAACGGTCGCGCGCTCTGACCTCGAAGGTCATTGTGACATCACTAGCGGTGCAAGCATCGATTGCACTGTTGCTAAGCGATCTCTAGTTTTATGAGAATTAAGTAGAAAGAGACATCGTAACATGAACGTGGACTCTCTTACACCAACAAACACATTTGTATGAAACTATAACCAGATAGAAAGTTTACCTGCTAAGTTAAGATTGAGAGAGGACGCTCCGTGTCAGGTTACACTACAGGTAAAGTTCATATCGCGAGGCTGCCAAGTCCTTAATCCAAAATGGCGGTAATTGCGGTTGCACACGAGGCTTAAAAAGAGACAGAAATAATGCTAGATTCCAACGAAGAATTCTTTCTTAGCTCATAATTTTCGGTCGTAATCCATTGAAATGACTTCCATTGAAATGTAAGTATCGCTTGATTTCGGATAAGTTGGCAAGATTTTTTTCAACGGAACACGAACAGGAAGCTTTAACGATCACAAGCTTTAAAATAAACTTGTTGCTAATGATGGCTGATCTTTCGTTTATAGTATAGTAGAGTAATGGATATTTTTGTTTTTATCTGGCAGATCTAATCGTGGGCTATGGCACATTATAACCGGACGATCTTCCTTGCAAGAGCCTGTAAGTTCAGTACGAAGACGAGGTTTTACAATTGCAAAATCATCTCGATTTGCTTTGCTGCGATGCTGGTTCCGTCTCGCACTTATTACGCTCTTTCTTTCTTCTTTTCTCTCTCTCCTTCTTTCTTTCATAGCATGATCAATTTGTTCGGCTCTTCATACGAAGTGTTTGCATCCAGATTGATGAGGTTGCTGCAGTAGTATAATTTAATTCGCTATTAAGTATGTTTTGCGCAAGCGTAATTTAATTTAATAATGCGCAATTGAGTGTTGAATTATTGGAAAAAACTAAATTTTTTTAAATTTAGGATCAGATAGGAGAAGAACTTAAACAGAAGAAGGATCGTTTACTGCTAGGAACTGCTGACTATAAAGAACCAAGGTACACTTAATTTGTGGTTTTATTCCTGTTTCATTCTTCAGCAAGTATGTGACAGGTGATGGTTTTTTAATCTTACGAATTTTTTGCGTTGGTGCATTACATTGAATATCATTATTTCTCAGTCCTCAGTCTGCTGAAGCTCTTCGAAAGTCACCAAATATTAAACCAAAACGAAAGGAATTTGTTTTGAAACTTAGTAAATTTTTGGTAAGTTTGTTATTGTTGTTGTTGTTGTTGTTGTTGTTGTTGTTATTCTCATAATCATTACTATCGCCATATCTTTTGTTGTTGTTGTTGCTGACATAATTGCTTTTGTTGATCTTGCTGGGCTGGGGTTAACCCTTAACATTCCAACATCAGTATGAATATTCTCTACACCGTTTTCTGTAGATTCCTATGGTAATAATGAGGAGAATTTGTTTAACAATCAAGAGCTTCTTTAGTTGGGGATCATTTTCTTTATTCTCATGACTGTAGTATTTGATTTAGTAGCAATACTGTTGGGAGAAATTAGATGGTTGCAAAACAAGTGCCCCATGAACATTTACGAGTATTAATTTTAATCAGATATTGTGATGGATTTTTCCCAGAATCTTGATGAATGGAAGAGTTTACAGTTGTTTGGCAGCTACTTGGAGAATGACTTTAGAGGCTCTAAACAACAGCTCCTGGTTTGTAGAATTATTAAAATTTACCATCTTATTTATGCTGTTTTTACTCACTCACAGCTTTCAAAATTGCTGATCCTAGCTCTAGGCATATATAAACCTAGTTTTAGCATACATGTAGCTCACCATTCTCAGAAGTCACCAGTAAAATATACTGCTTCTAGTACCTCCTATTACCACTAAGAATTACTTGAGATTTTTTTTATCTGTCATGCTTAAACTAAGGGAAAAAACTGCGCTCTTTGGAACCCAAAGACTGAGGCTTGATTTTTGTCTTCAGTTTTTGTTTATGAACCACAAATATGTATAAATGTTATCATGTATAATTTTTCATACGATACTTTCTTTCCTTCAAATGAAAAGGAAATGTTGAAAAATGAAGCTCAAACAGAGGCACTTTTGCTGAAGGTTAGTAATTTGTTATTTCCTGGTGCAGAGGTTTACTGGAAGTCACCAGCTTTTTTTCTTCCATTTTTCTTACCTTTTCAGATCATGGAGTACTACTTTGAAGAACGTTTACACATCTTACAGTGCACTAAGTTTTTGTTGAGCTACTGGCAAGACCCTAGACATCGATGGCGAGTAAGTTGAATTTCAATTAATTTTTACCATTTCAGATCTATAGTGATTCTTAATACTGTTCTTATGATGTTTGTTTGGATAATTACCAAGACAAAATTTATCCTTACAATATCAATACAATATCAAGCAAACAAGTGATGAGAATAAAGAAAAATATCAGTTAGAGGATTGTTAGTTGATCCAATACCAAATTCTCAAAACTAACATCACAAGAACTGTATGGCAGACAGTAAGGAGAATTACTAGTGAGATCTTGGGAGTTAAAGGGTTAATTGATGTTTTTCTTTATTCTCATCACTTATCTGTGTGATTACTCTATTGATATAATAAGGAGTAATTATGTCTTGGTCACTTTCAGGATTTAAAGTGTTATTAAGTACATTTAGCTTATCCCTGCATAAATAAGCTTATCACATGAATATGTTTTTATACATTTAACGCTTAGACTTGTACATAAACATGTCAGTTTGATGATTTGCATTTTTTTTCATGTAACCAGGAAGAATTTGCAGAGTGCATTGAAGCTATGCAGGAAAATGATGTTTTGATTATGAAGGTACAGTATATGCAATGTACAATGCACATGTATGAGAATTTGATTTAAGTTGATCTCAAATGCACTTTCCTGTCACTCTAATTATAAAGATAAACTGAAAAAAGATAGTATTCATTGGGAGTTGCTAATTGGGAAAAGTGTCAGATACTGAAATTTTTTTATATCCAGTATGATTATTCAGTACTAAAGCAAAGTTGAGTGGGAGAGATGGGTTTGGAAAAACAGGCTTAAGAAAAAAAGTTCTTTAGAAACAGAATCCACCATATGCAGTGCCATGTAGTTATAGAAAGAACCCAACTTAGTGTAACCTGTGATTAAAATTTACAAAACATGTATAAGCAAATCCAAAGTAAATTAATTGTGGTTCAGGATAGTGCAATGTCCAGCTAGTGAGGGTTGTTGGGAGTCACATGTACATGGACTTGTTTTACATTGTTTATAACTGTACTTTTGAGGGAATCTTGAAATAATATGTCAACATTATTTGTTGACATATTGTTTCATATTATTTGTTGACATACAGTGTTTCACTTGTTATGTGGAACTGCTTCTGTACGAAGCTATGGATACATTACCAGAAGGTGGAATAATACATTCTGTCTTGGAAAAGGGAGTATACCAGCATCAAATTTGTCTGTATACAAGTGTGCAGTATTTTTGTGTTCGTTGTAGATTTTGGAACAGTACAAGACTTGTTGTTCTACCACAGTTCCTCTTCATGCTACTGCAGGATCATCACTTGTAAGTTTTTTTATTGTCTAGGTTCAGCTGTATTTCATTGACATACTGTTAAGATAAATTAATTTAAAGATTAATGAAGAGAATTCTTTTTTTATATCTGTTCATAGCATCTGAAGACAAAATGTCAGCGATGGGCCTTACAGTTTTTAAGAGAACAGGTAAAAATCTAGGCCTCAATTATCCACATGGTTTTAAATGAATTGTCTTTGGTGTAAACTAAAATCAATGGTGTTCATCTTTTTTAGGCATTGTCATTTTGTAGCTGAGTTAGATGTATGATCTAGATCTTAAGCGCAAGCCCTACATAGTACCTTACCCATTTACTAGAGTGAAAAATGGCAGTCAAATTTAAAAAAGGAAGATAATTTTTTTGAACAAGTTTGGTCCTTGGTTTCAAGTATTTACTCCTTCTCTAAGCTGACTATCCGTATGTAAAGTTTTACACCCTTATGCATGATAAAAATAAAGGGGGTAAGTTTCTTTAAAGAGACCATGATGCTGTGTCAGTGGGAGAGTATAACAGGGTAATTTAGTATTATCAACTAACTTGAAAATGTAAATTGGCCACCGTAAAGGGTTTCAAGCTAACATTTTGAGTGTTAGCCCTTTATCAGACCAAATGATGAAGGTTTAACACCTGAAATGTCAACTCTCTATGGTGGCCAATTTACTTTATCAACTATGCATAATAGTTGACTTCGGTTTTCTCTTATCAATTTTATTGAAATTTTGACCATTCTTTCATTTGACAACTTTTTTTTCAGAGCCTTCTCCCTACTTCCATTGGCTAATTTGCCTCTAATTTGTATACACACTTCAGTGGTTTAAAGATTGAATTTTTTATACCTTTAGATACTGCTTCTGGAAATCATGTTCCTCTATTATAAGGAATTTGTTGTTCCAGCCAAGTCCCTGCTAGACTTAGCAAAACTATTTCAGGTGAAATTGATATAAATGTATCATTCAACAGGTACTTATTTTGCTTATAACATACCAGGGAGAATTCCTGTTGGTCTCAAAGCTCTTTCCACAGAGGATAGTTTGATAAAAGAGCTTAATCTTATGAGATAATACGATTTACTCCATTTTCTGTCCACTGATTTTGTTATGAAGGTTTTTAATTTTAATACAGAAAAGTGTTGTCTTGTCAGTGGTAATAGCAGAAAGTATATGAAAAGTGACCTGTTACACCCTGTTAAATAACTTTCTTTGAGTATTCTTTTGTTTGTGTGACTTGTACCTGACAGAGCCAGAGTTTTGAAACAAAACACAAAGATCTAGGTGTTGTAGCTAACATGTATTTGGAAAGTTAGAATTGAAATATTTTGAATCTTTTTCTTTTTTGTGTTCATGATTTGTACCTGACAGAGTCAGAGTTTTAAAACTTTTATTGCACAAAGTGTTTTAACTGAGATGTATAATTATAGAAAGTGAGAACTGAAATCTTTGAATCTAGTTTTTTTTTGTTCATGATTTGTACATGACAGAGCCAGAGTTTTGGATTGAAGCAAGTCAATAGACAGCTTTTTGAAGGACAGGCTGAGGTCTTACTTCCTCATATCAGGTGAGTAAATTTGTAAGGTCTCCCAGATTTTTACTTGATAACTTTTGGTCACAAACTTCTTACAATATTAATAAATTTTACACTTCTACTAGGTGTAAAGAAAGGGCTTGTTTATATTTTCATTTTCATTCGTAAGAAGAAAAGTGTCAGTGACTGAATATATATGTGAACTGTGGATTAAGAAAATAATATGAAGATGATCTTTGCAGTGATGAACATGACAGTATTGAAAATGGGGCCTGAAAAAAAATCAGGCCTGTACAGGATTTGAACCCAGACCTCTGCAATACTAATGCAGTGCTTTACCAGCCAAGCCAACAAACCAACTAGAGAAGAAAAGAAGATAGTATCTTGACTATCAGATTATAGCATTTCTGTGGCACTGGGTCCACCAAATAAAAATTCAAATTCAAATGCTTTTCTGAATATCTGATAACCTCCAATTCTATTGTAATGTACATAATTTGTTTCCAGTTACCTGCAGGTGTTGGTTCTCATAGTTTCACTTGACTTAGAGAGTTTAAGGAAATTAATAGAAGAAGACAGGTGTGTAATACAAATAATTTTGACTGAGTTGTAAAGACATACATGTACACTGTCTCCATTGTGCTCAGCAAGCTAATCCAATAAACTTTAGATCTATCAAGTTTTGCATATACAACTTTTAGGCAAACTTACTATTAATAATAGTTTAATTTTGCATTGGCCCTCAGATAAAATCTGTTTGCACTGATTCACTATCATTAAAAAATTAAAGCAAGCTTAATATTTAATCAAGGTTCGGGGAAGGGCACTTTGAACAACTGGCTGTAGATTTTCCAAGTTTGAGATGTTGGTTAACCCTTTACAACCTAACATTGGTATGCATATTCTCCTTACTGTTCTGTATACATTTCCTAAGGTGCTGACAAGGAAAATTTCTTTAACAATCAAGAACTTCCATAGTTTATGATCATTTCCTTTACTCTCATGACCTTAATGTTTGATTCAGGGATGATACTGTAAGGAGAAATTAGATGCTAGTCGCTCTCAGGGGTCAAATGGTTAACCTTGCAACCTGTAGGCTATGTAGAGTGGGTGATAGTGGACAGGCCAGTCTGTTTAAAACACTGAACTTGGGTTTACTTTATTTTGATTTCTGTTTCATTCTGTTATTGACAGCTGTTCACGACATCATTTACTCCAGGAGAAAGCCTCACTTGAGGTATGTTTCTGTTCAATAATCTGTTTGATCCTTTAAAAGACAACACAATGATTGAATAACTATGGATACCACTTTTCATCTTTCAGGCTCTAGATAAGTTTTTTCTTAGCTGCGGAGATCAGCCTCACCATGGACCTGTCATGTTGGCCTGGGCAGCATTCAGATATGTTACTATAGATGCCAGTCAAGAACAGGTATCTTGAAAAGACTTTCATTGAATGATATGATTAAGAAAAAGAATTGGCTGTAGGCATAAGTTGCCATTTTTTCCTCAAAGCCACAGCGGTTCCTCGCGAGGGGGGAAAACGAATTTTTTGAAAAACATTTCTCTTACCTTTATCTGGTCATTGTAATAGTACTATGATATACTTTTCTATTTTCTCCAGTTTGTAAGAAGAATTGGTGGTAAAGCATTGCAATGTTCTGTGTTCAAATATTTACTTGGAATGTTAAGAAGTGAGGAATTCTCTACAAATGATGTAAGTATCATTTGTAAGAGGTTTGAACTTGACAAAAATTCATGATATCAATTGCTGCCTCACCTACTCAAAGAGGAAGGTGCCTGGAATACATGTTTATCATCTGTGCCCAACTAACTCCCAGAAAGAGTAACATCTCCATGTTTGACACATACTTGTAACCCTATCTCCAACCCCTATTCTAGGCACCCATCAACACAGATTAGATCAGTGGAAGAAGAAATGAGGGAGGGGAGGGGGGAGAATGTTTGAGAAAAACTGTCACAGAAGGACTCAGGACTGACAAGGAATGACTGTTGCCAAACTGCAAGAAAACTGAAAAATGCAAACTGTGACTAATTTACATTGTTGAGTCTGCGACCTGTTAGGCTCACGGCAATTAAATTTCTTAATAATGTTATTGTTGACATTTTTTTTTCCTAAATTTATATCATTATATCATGATATCATTATTGGATATTGATACTTAAGAAATTTTAATTATAATCAAGACTTTGTGGTGAGGTCTTCATGTTTTTATTGTTTCTTTGAAAATGAAGGTGAAATATTTTTTCAAGGGAAACTACTTTAATTTGTAGGTTGTGTCTAACACTTGCAAGAGCCTTATATATGGACTGATGGTGATAGTGCTGGCACTGTTTGATGAGGATACACTGGGAGAACTACCAGTAAGTACAGCAACATACACAACCCTGAGTTCAATTCTGTGTATATTCTTGAAATGATTTTGTCATACACATT